CCCTACATGCATGGAACTTTTAGGTAAGATCCAAGCTATTATTTTGTAAAAGTACTGTTAAGCTTATCTGGAATCTAAAATATTTTCATTCAGTTTTGCTTAATATTTTTTAGATGTAACCTAAAATTGCTCCTCAATTCTTAATCCAAGTATCTATATGCAATTTTTTTTTTTGAATTTTGGAAATGGCTTGGCTCACCCATTTATCTGAGCAAGGGATACCTAATCATTTAGATTGTGTACATATGACATAATCAATTTCATTTATCTCTGATCACCTAAGCATGAAGGAAAACATGCAACTCTAAAAACTGCAAGTAGTTCCAAGAAAATATGTCATTTGGTCTACTCCAGAATATTTCAAAAAGAAACACCTTTTTGTCTCTTACAAACAATGACAGTACATATCTGAGGACTCTTACAAGTATTCTTGTGTAGCGGATGAATCTTCTGGCAGCTCATGAGGTTTCCCTGATAATTCAGCTTCTACCCGATCTCTGTGTGCTTGTCGTAGGAGTTCTGCAACAGGTATTTCTGCCTCAGCCCTGGATGTGCCTTCATGAAAGGATGAATAGCTGACAGAAATGTCTTCTTCAGACACAAGAGGAGGCTGATCAGACTGTTCACTATCTTTAGAAAGAGAATGTTCCTCTTCTTTTTGATCTTTTGTGCTATGTAGATCTTCATGGAGTGCAGAAAATCCTAGTGGGGAAATAAAATAAATCATCATCTGATCTTCCCATGTGAACCAATTAAGTCTACTCAGTTCAAATCTAGATCTAAGTTTGTGGTAGAACAGTGGGGTGCATGGGATTCGAGTAGTGAGATGCTACACACAAATGTTTTCCTGCTTAGAGTGCTCTTCAAGCAGTGGATTAGATGTTTTTGTTTCTCATAAATATTTTTACTTAATAATTTATATACTGCTTTTTTGCCAAACAAAATCAGGTAACCAAGGTGGGTAATGCTCATATTTCAAAGAAACAATGAAATAATCAAAACAAAGACATGAATCCAAAGAATCACAAAACAAAGCATCATAAAACATATATTGAACAGCAAACAATTTTAAAAACTTAAACTTGGCACAATAGTAAAAATAAAAATAAAATACAGAATCCAGCAATATATACCACTTAAACTGCTTAAATAAACACCACCTAAATAAAAGGGAGTCTGAAGGAAAACAGATAATGAAATAGTAAAGGGGGTGGTGGTGGAAGCTGAAGGCCAGAAGCCAGGGGCATGTGAGCTTCACAATGTAGGGTGTTCCACTGAGGAGCACTACAAAAAATGTTCTGTTGCATGCCTCAACCTGCCTAGTTTTCCTCATTAATGGCACACTGAGCAGAGCATCAGATAAGCCCCAACCAGACTGAAACAGCCAGAGGAAGTCCTTGAAGTATACTGTTCCCAAGAGGTTCCAAGCTTTAAAGGTCACAACAGCACTTTGAGCTGGTCATGGAAACAAATAAGTAACCAGGGCAATGGATACTGTAGTAATGGCAGTAGGAACCAATCACTACTTTTGCTGCTAAATTCTGGACATTTTCAACACCACTTCCATCTTGTCTGGATTAAGTCTCAACTTATTAACCCACATACATCCCTTCATCACTTTCAGACACTGGTCAGGAGTTTCTATTTCCTCTCTAGAATTATATGAAGATACAGAATTGTGTGTCATCTGCGTATTGATGATGCCTTATTCCAAAGCTCTAGATAACCTGCATGGTTTCATGAAGACTTTAAATAGTATGGCAGATGAGTTCTAATTTTGTGGAACTCCACAAACCAAGGAGCAGAGCACCAGCCACTCAATATCACCTTGTGATATCAATCCAGTAGAACAGAGACAGTATAAAACCATATACACACACCATTCTATCCAGATGGAGCAGAAGGAAACCATGGTTAATGGTATCAAAGGCCAATGCAGAAGTCTACATATGCTCACCTAGTAAGCAGATAGGCAAAGATCAGTAAGTGGGGCAAATAAGGCGTTTCAGTCCCAAAACTAGGCTGAATCCAAACTGAAAGGGACCTAGACAGTCTGAATGATATAGGTATCTCTGGAATGGAGTTGACACCACCCATTTAAACACCAAAGCGGGAAAGTTGGGTATGGGTTGAGAGTTGTTTTACATCTAATTGGTCCAGGAAGGGTTTCTTCAATAAAGGGCTGACTACTGTCGCCATTAAGATTTTCGGGACAGAAGCCTTCTGCAGTATTGTATCCTGAATGTTTGAACTCTTAATACTGAAAAAGCATTGTGCGAGGTGGTATGAATAGTCATCTACAGACTCTCTGTATATGGGATTTTTTGTCAGTTGTCTTACACATGACTTACTGAATGAATTACTGAATGATGGGGGGTATGTATGTGTGAGCTCATCCTTACCTTCACTGTGATCCAGTCCTATGGTCTGTTCAATTTCTGCATAGGTGCGACCATGTTCTCGGGAAGTTTCCACATTGCTCTCCATTAGATGAACAATATCCATACGGTTAATTTTTGTAAGACACTCTGTAAGACTTGAATCTATGATGTGGAAAAGATTGGTTTCATTTGAGTTGTGTTCAATCACTTGAAAGCCCTTCGCTGTCTTTCAGAGTCACGCAATCGTAAAGGAAGGTAGTATATCTTAATTAGCATTATCCTAATTCTAGAGATGAGTGATACATGCCTGTACATACGTACATACATACGTACATACATACATACATACATATATCCAGTGCTCTTTCCCGTTTGCAAGCCCTGAGTTAATTCAGGCCCTTGGAAAGGACAGGTTACTTACCTAAAAATGGTGGGCCACCTGTGCAGTCACAGAGAGAGCTTCAGTGTCTCTGCACTGCTCAGGAACTCCAGATATCAAGAAAACACTACAGATATCAAAGGGGTATTTGGTGTTGAAGTTCCCCCCTCTTTAGATGAGATTTTCCCTATCAGTTCACGCCATGAGCATGGGGCGAGAGTCTTTCCATTTATTTATTTCATAACTGCTACGAGAATGTGAAGCAAAGAAGGATCTCTGCAGGGGAAATAGGGTGGAATGTGTGTGACAGCACAGATGTCCACTCAAAGAAAACCAGTTACATGGAAGTAACTCATCCTTCTTCCTTGTGGTTTCTCTGCAGTCCCACACATGGGTGGCTGGGCTAGCTACACATTAGTCTACCTAAGAAGAGTGACACTAATTAGCTATATCAGGAAAATAAACAATGAAGCCCACCCCAAAGGTACATCTGCCCTAGCATGCATGTCCTGAGCACAATGATGTTGAAGTGGTGAGTTGTATTACAGCTGTGCAGTGGGAGTAAAGCCGAAAATACCAGCTGTGCCTCTGGTAGAAAGAACACATCCTGGGTCAGGTGAAATTTAACTACTTAAAGAAGGAGATGTCTGAGTACAGCAGTCATCTTTGTGTGAGAGAATGGGGCATCACAGCAGAGGCATAAGTCACAAACAGTCATTGGTTCAAATGTCTTGTACATAAGAGAGCACTATTAAAAGACTCTATGCTGGAGCAGGGGACCCAATGGATGGGTTCAAAGAGAAGACAATTATCTTTAACCAAAGGAGTAAAAAAAAACCCAGGAAATTCAGCCATATAAATATTTAACCAAGCAACAAATCAACCAAAATATTGTTAAGTCTAAAATGGAGCTAAAATAAATTAGATACACAAAGGATTTCAAACAAAACAAATCCACTTCTTGAGTAGGATTGTCCAGTGGAAGATTTTCTTATTTCCTCTGTGTTGTCATTTTTCAGTGGTAATGTCATGAAAGAATGCTTTCTCAGTATGTTGCAAGAAGAGATCTGGACACAGTGGGAAGTGTGGAAAACTGATATATGAGAAAGTGAAAGAAACCTGGAGAACAAGGGCTGACATGGCCACTGTGATGAGATCAGAATGCAACCCACCTAACTCCACTAACACTGCAACCCTGTGCAGAGTTTACACCCTTCTAAACCCATTGACTTCAATGGATTCAGAAGCATGTGAAGTCTGTTTAGATTGCACTGTAAATCAAATTAAACTACAGTCATCCCACGTAGGTGCTTTCCCCCCCACAGACTTTGCATGTTTTCAGGAATTCAGCTGTTGGGCTACATCAGAAAAGGAAAACTCCTGAACAGGTGATGAAAAAATAGCAAAACCTTCAAGAGAATTCTCCACAGAAGAAGGTCAGCCAGAGGAGAACTGAAGAGAAAAATGTTTGCCATATCACTTGGGACAGACACAAATAGTGAAAAATCCCCTCCAAGGGGGTGGGGGGTGGGAAGAGACAGGGATATCAATTTCCTTTTGGGAGATACAGGATGTCCTCAGAATGACCAAGCACGGAACTTGTGTAAGAACAGCCTCTCCTCTTCCTGCCTCATCTGTACTCTGCCTGATATACAGGTGCAGAGAATACAATACATAGTTTTGTTTACTTGTACTGCAATATGAAGAATCATTCTAGCAGAAGTTGGGGATCTGACTAAGACTATGATGTACCTATTACTTACCTCATTACAAAACTGTGCCTTTTGCTACCTGTTCCCATGCTAAACCACAGTCCTGTCTTCTCTTGGAATGTATGGTCTATCCTTCAGTTAGAATATAGTTCTTCTGTATTCATTGTGAGTTCTTCTTTTCAGTGAGGCTCATGTGTAATCTCTAGCCCCCTTTGACAGGAATAAAAGTAATTATCTGATGAAAATAAACATACCAGTAGCATGTTTCCCATCCCTTTCCAACCAATATTTCAATAGTGCATGACTCTGGTCCTGCAGTGAATTAGGATTCTCAATTCGGATCTGATGAATTTGTTCTTCTGTGAAATCCAGTTCTCTTGCTAACTCTGTGGAAGGAAATCGTTAGTTGTAAAATCTTTATGTACAAAAATGCCTTATATGAATTCTGAACACTAGCTTATCCATCCCAGGACTGGTTCAACTTTGACTGGTGGTAGCTCATCAATGCTCAGACAGGAGTTTTTAGCATATCTGCCACCTATGGTCCTTTAACTGGAGTTGTTAGATATTGAAGCAAGCACTTCAATCTCTTTTCAGTTCTTTTGTGGTTATTTTTTCCCAAAATCTGAATGCAGAGATTTCTTTCCTCTACATTATGCTTTTAAAACTTGTAGATATATATTTAAGAAGTCTGTTTCTTAACCATCATTTTTTTTAAATCTGTGGTTCTTCACCTGGAGCGCAGAGCCAGGGCCCAGGCACTAGACACAATGTGCGGAAGAAGACCCCCCCACTGGAGAGAGAGAGAGCTACACCACTTACTTACCTGGAAATCAAGACTTGTACTGACATTGAACAACACCTCTTGGACATCTCTAACTTCAGCACCTCATGATTGCGGCCCTGAATATGGCTTTTTCTGTGGGCACTAGAATACTGATTGGGGGGTACTGGGGAAGTAGTAACTGGGAGAAATCATTACCTGAAAAAGGATGTTTAATGAATGCTCTACTCCAATGCAAAAGGGAGCTGATAGGTACAGGGGTGGAATTTATCATAGTCTTTAACCTCTGTAACATCCTGAGAATTGATTAAACAAGGGCACCTATTTTCCCCACATTTACACTCATACTGTGCAATATCACAGATCAGTGAAGAACAAAACTGCACAACTCTATGAGATGTTGCAGGAAGAAAAAATTGACCAGGCTTGCATAACAGAAACATGATTGGAAGAAAGTGAAATCACCTATTACGACACAAGTGTCTGTCCCAACTAACCTCCCCTGGTTACATGGTCCTCTACCAATACCACACAACTGGAGGCATGGCTATTAACCTCTGTGAGACCTGCAACTTCTGTGGACTTCTGAGCCTCTCTGTTGCTCTTATTGGATTTACCTGCAGCCTGTGATACAGTAGATCATGCCATGCAGCAGCAGGTATCAGGGGATGTGCATTGAACTGGTTCATATTATTCCTTATGGATCAGATTTAAAGGGCTGTTATTGGAAACCAGTTGTCTTCAGTGCGGAAGCTATCTTACAGGGTTCCACCGGTGCAATTCTATCCCCCATGCTTTTCAAATTCTACATAAAGCCCTTAGGACACATCATTTGTAGTTCTGGGGTTCACTGTCACCAGTACGCTAAAGATACTCAGTTCTATATCAAAATCTCCTGGCAATGTGGTGGAGGTCTTGAATCACTGCCTGGCTGCTGTGATTAACTGGCTAAACAAGAACAAATTGAAACAAAATTCTGAAAAGACAGGTAATGCTGGTTGGGAAGGAGGACGTCTTGAAGGAGATCATTCTCTCCACTTTTGATGAAGTTCAACTGACCCTTGCTGGCTCAGTTAGAAGCCCTGGAGTTATACTGAATCCAGCTTTATTACTGGAAGAAAGAAATTAATGCAGCTGCAAAAAATGCTTTCTACTAACCCAGCCTAGCAGACAGAATGGCCCTTTACCTTGATACTGCTGACCTGGGCACCTGGATCCATGCCACAGTAACATCGAGACTAAACTAGGGATGTGCGTTCAGATATATTAAGTTGGAATATATATCTGAAAAATACCTCAGAGTTTTCCAGATATATTCAGTTCTCCAGATGGTATCCAGGGTTTTGGGATACTAGGAAATGGGTCCTGAAAAATCCCGGAAATATTTGGGAGTAAGTGGAAGTATCGGGAACAAGTGTTTTAAGGTTCTCAGGACTGTCCCCTCCCCTTTAATTTTACCGCATTTCTGTGCCTTTCCAGGGGTTGATATCAGCTGGCTATGTTGTTTTGGCTTTGACTGTGTCCTTGAAATTGGTTTTGTTGTTGTTTTGGCTTTGACTGTGTCCTTTGAAATTGGTTTTGTTGTTCTTGCAACATTGTGTTCTCTGCTGAAGTTGGTTTGTGTCAGGTTTGTGGTAGATATTCAGTTTTGACATTGCCTTAGATTCCCAGGTTGTACATTGGCTCAGGTTGTACATTAAATTGTTGTCTTCATTGTCAGGTTGTACAATTGTTGGGCTCGCAACAGGGTTTCACTTGAAACTTGGGGATTATTTAAAGGACAGACACCAGCAGCTCTGCTGCAATAATAGAGCCAAATATTACTGAAATCCTGGGGATTTCATATTTCTAGAATAGACTACTGTAACACACTGTACATTGGTCTCCCCTCAGAACCAATTTTGAAACTCCAACTTATCCAGAATGCCACAGCTTAGCTATTTTGGAGACCACGGATATTGCTCTCATTCTGCAGACACTCCACTGGCTGCCTATTTGTTACCATGCTCAATTTAAGATATTGGCTGTCACATACAAGCACTTCATGGCCTTGGTTCCTCTTATTTGCAAGACTGCTTCTCCCCTGATGCTCCATCATGACAACTTTGCTTATATCAGCAAGGGCTTCTGAGGTTGCCAACCCACAAATGGGCAAAGTCAACAACTGCCTGTACATAGGCATTCTCTGTTGTAGCTGCCACCTCATGGAATAGCCTGCCCAAGGAGGTCAGGAAAGTTCCCACTCTTCTGGCTTTCTGCGAACTATGCAAAACTGAATTATTCAAGATGGCTTTTCTGCACAGGTAATAAGGTTGTACTGTACAAAATGGCTTTCAAACTTACTTGGATAAATGATTAGGGACTGTGGAACACACTGATGTATGCAGCTTACTGTAAGTAGGACCCTATTATGTAATTTTTGTGCTGCTTAATACTTATGCTATGTTTCAGTTCTTTCTGGCAGTTCCAGACTCATAAAATCCTAATGCATTTTTTACTGAATGTCCCATTGCATAGACTGTACTAATTCACTATGTGGAACCCATCAATTGAAATGAGCTCTGTTGTGTGAGGTTGTTCCCCATTCCCAAGGTGTGAATGGGGTATTTAGACCTGCCTATTGTTCAGTGTTCCCTTTTTTATAGAAAACTAGAAGAAACGTCAATCTCTCCTTTGACGTAAGCAGGATTTATATTCTATGTATAAGTTGATCTTGTTCCTATCATGCAAACAAAGTCTAGCTTCCCTACCTGGAATGTTTTTTTCATGCTATTTTTCTTCTTTTCCTTGAAATTAACCCTGATACCAGCAACTGCTTTCTGTTATTGTACCACAACAGCATCTTAGACACGAGGTGTGACTTCTTCCTTCTATAGAAGTCCAAAATGCCACATGAAATCCCATCCCCCGGGGAGCCTTTCACACAAGAACAGGATTTCAGGGGGCACTTTGGACTGCTATGGAATAGGGGAGGAGGAAAACTGTGTTCCACAGAAGGAAATCTTTGCACCTGTGGAAACATCTAGTCTAGATCCAAGTATATCCAATAAACTGTGATTACCCAGTGATTCCCCTTGAAACATTACGGGTTGGATCCAGCGCAAGATTTCCACACATGCTAGAGCTCTTGTGCAAATGGAAATACATGAAAAAGACCACAGTAGCCATTTGCACTAAGTCAAACATATTGTATCCCCACTTGAGTGTCCACTTCACAAGATTCTGGGCAACCAATTTCCAGCTATAATATATAGGGAGGAAAGTGTTAGGTGATCCACAAGACCTAGCACAAGTGAACTGCACTACGTCCATTTATATTTTCACTTGGACATCACTGGATCCAAGCCTACCACTCAAGTTGTTTGGATGAACTAGAGAATTTCTTTCACTTCCCTGTTTACCTGTCCAGCTGAATCCAAGATGATCAGCAATATGCGCTAGTCTTTCTTCTGTTCTTTCTTGATCATCTTGTTGATCTAAAATAAGGCCAAATAAAAGAGATGTCATAAAAACCCTTCAGCAGAACTGATAGACCTTAACAAAGGAAACTCCAGAAAATAAGGCCAGTGTTTTTTAAACAGTAGGCACTTTCAAAGGAAACTTAGGGTTTTGCTAAGTGTCTAGACTGGAAATATTTGAGCGCACTTTCAATAAAGTGGCCATTTAACCAGGTGAGAGATCAAAAGCTTTGGAAAACACTGACCAAAATTTTATCTTGGAGTTCCTATAAAATCCCTACACACTTAAAATAATATAGGATGAAGGGAGAGGTGAATTTTTTGCTGAACAAGAGATGCATTTTTCCATGCCTCTTTAGTTAATGGCACATAGCTATCAAACGGCAAGTTCAGTTTTAATTGTTTTATCACAAGCCCTAAGGTACTTATTTTTAAATCCTAATTACTGCATCATTCCAAAGGAACTCTGAATTATACTATTTAATAATATGCTGGGCATCCAGCAGAATGTTTATTCTTGTCAACTGTGTAGGTTATATTTGCTAAAAGTTTCCACACTGGAAATTATTTACAAAGTAGGCATGGAAAAAGAAAAGTACGCTTCTTCTTGGGAGTATTTGCCTCAAAGCAGGAATTCATATTCTCAACAGCCAATGTGATACCTGCAGAGTTTGAGTTTTTGTTTTCCCAAGAGTGCCATTTTGGATTACACATGAAGTCTGATAGGAAGTATGTCCAAAATTTAGTTATCACATTTGTCCTTAGAGAAATGTAATAGTATTACTTCCATAAATTCAGTGCTTAAACATAGTCTTTAGTTAATTAATGGTGTCAAGCAGACACAGTAATTTTATCTAGTTTTTCTGTGTCAAATTCAACTAGAGCAAATAAAAACTAAAAACTAAAATCTGCATGGTCAGCTGTGTTACAAGTGAAAAAATACATTTGTTAATGTTTGACAACATTAACAAAGTACTTCTTAAAAATTAAAAATCGATTGTGTTTTGTGTTTCATACACATTTGCAGTGTGCAATCTTGAGATTGTTTCAGAAAGCTGTTTTGTGTTTCATAAAGTGTGCAATCTTGAGATTGTTTCAGAAACGGTAAAATACATACACAGCACACAAAAAACAGAGCTTACACACAACACATTAACAATCACAGGAAGCTTGTTAAAAAGACACAAAACCACACACAAAAAGCAACAGAAAGAAAGAGAAGAAACAACAAACAAAGTATTGCAATTCATGACATGCGTAGCAAAGGGAATCTCAGTAGCTGACAAATACCTTCAACATGATCAGGGACATTTTCATCAGGAATACGCTCAATCTGAGTCTCAATGGACTCATCCCAAATGGGCCTGGTGTCAAAGATGTCCTCGGCAACTGACTGCTGGGTCTCAATGGATGGCACATTTTCAATAACCGAAACTTCTAGGGCGCTACTACTTTCATCATCTGAAACTAATTCTTGTTCTCTCTCTGATTGTATAAGTCTATCCACTAACTTGGAAGCTTCATCACTAATCTCTTCAAAGAATTCTATGGAGTTTTTGTAAAGTTCAAAAAAATGTTCCTTACTTTCTTTTGAGGGACTAAGACCACTGCGGGAAGCTGAGGTGCTTCTGCTCTTAATAGGCAATCGCGAAGAAAATATCTTTGGCTGGGCAGTCATCAGCTCGTCTGATTCTAGCTCAAGCTTCATCTCACCAACCCTCTGTCTGGCCTCTGCTTCTGCCTCAGCAGCATAGCTTCTAGCTTTGACTGAACGCTTAGCTTTTGAGTCCATGGAGGCACTTGCATCTGATTCAGATTTGCTTCTGCTATCTTGTTTCATAGGATGTTTGCATGTTATGTCATGAGCTTTAGGTGACTCTGGCTTCCAGACCGATGTCTCTGTGTACATACATTCTTGCTCAACTCTTTGGAAAATTCCTTTGACTGGAATTTTTGACTTTGGTTTGGATTCATCACCCTGTGATTCTTCTAGGTTGCCCATAATGTCATCTGAAGGGAGGCAATCAACTTCTGAAAGGTGAGTTGTCCTTATAGGGATTTTGGATTTGCCTTCAGAAGGAGGCATACTTTCCATGACAGCAGTAGGGATTTCTATGACGGATTTCTGCTCCTCTGGGGAGGAGTCTGGAGAATCATCTTCCTGTTCAGAATATACAGACCGTGTGACTGTTGAAAAATCTAACTGTACATCAATCACAGTCTGCTCAGGAGAGATGGGGAAAGGCACCTGAGAGCTGTCAAACATGTCACCAGTGTCAACTCCAGAGAAGCGGTCAGCATCAGAGGCAACAGGTTCTTTCTTTGGTGACTTTGATGAGGCAGAAATACCCATCTTAATAGGAATTCTAGATTTAACATCCCCCTTTGTTGTATAAGAATTGGAGCTGTCATCTTCCACTGTAGGTGTAAGTGAACTTTTTATAGGGGTATCAGCTTCATCAAATTCAGAAGATGCAGATGGCACTGGGGGCAGTTCTAACTGGGGAGATTCCACACCTTCAGCTTCTCTCATTTCTTCAGATAATGACACCTCTTCCTGAGACTGCTGACCCATTTGAAAAAAGTGCAAGTTTTCATCAGAATAATTCCTCTTGGTCATGTCAATAGCACCACTCCTTGTCATTTCAAACAATTTACCTTCCTGGAAAAGAAAGGGGTTTGGTTCACTGGTAGGTGTCCCTTCTTCTGTAGGAGTCCTGGCAGGTGTAGTATCAGGTGTGGTGCCTTGTGACCTTCGGTCTACCATTAAGCCAAATATCTTCTGTTCTTCTTCTTTCACTCGAGCCTCAAAAGCATCATCATCTTCACGTATTTCACTCCACTTATCCGAATCCACATCTGTCCTGGTTATGATTACTTGGCTGATAATTTTCTCAGCTTCCTCTCTGATATCTTGTAAAGCAGCTTCATCAAGAGATGCAGGGTCTGCTGTCGAAGGCATTGGAGTTGATTGTTTTTGGAAGATATCCATGTGCTTGGATTCAATCTCCATATAGACCTCTTCTGAAGTGTAAACCTCAGAACCTGCCAATGCTGGTCTATGAAGGGAGCCTGTTACTCTTCTTTCATCTGTGAAGGTAGTTTTTAGTTCAGCAGAACAATCATCCCCAGACAACTGGTCTTGTATCATCCTTGAATCAATTCCTATACTTATTTCAGTGCTAGTAAAAAAATGTTGTGAGGGAACATTTTCATAAGGGCTTGTTATAGTCAGAGCACTACCTTCATCAGCATCTTCAACGTAACTGCAACATTCACCCTTTTGGGTGGTCAGAGATGAATATTCTGAGGAGTGCTCTGTGCTACAAGAATCCCTTTGTGCTATCTCAAAACCTATGTCAGTTCTAACCATACTTCTTTCTGAAGGGGAATGTATTGGTGAAACATCAGCAGCCAATTCATCACTTTTGGATGCACAACAATGAGAGGCACCAGGTACACAAGAACCCTCTGTACATCCCGTATCAGTGAGGTCTTGGTGCGGTACCCTCTGAGCTGCTGCATCTTCTTCCAAATCATACTGATGGTGCAATGCCTCTGAGATCTGATTCAGATCAGTTACTTTCTGGGCATCATCACCAACAGAGTGGTAGAAAGCCTCCTCGGGGTGCATTACAGGACCATTTGGGCTAACTGTATCACTTTCATCTGTGCTGTAGCACTTCGATTCACTAGCCTGTGCTATGATGCTAGCATCAGAGGCAAGAGAGGTATCACCAGACATTTTTGCCTCCTCTGCTGGTTTATCTGATTCTGTGTTCTCCTCCTCAGTACTGAAAGCCTGCTGTTTGGGCTCAATAGGCTGAAACTCTGTTTCTTCAGGACTGGAACTGGAATCCATATTGCAAAGATGAGGTGATGGAGGCTGCACTCGAATTACAGGGTCCAGTAAAAGCCCTGAGTCAGCTTCTTTTTTCAGTTTTGTCAGTTCTGGCTCACTCTCTGAAGAGGAAGAAGTCTTTCTAGATTCAGCTGCAGAGGTCACTATGGCAGGAACATCATTATATTTGTCAGTGGTTGGAGGTGCAACTTCAGCTTCAGGAGTGGTTTCCCGATCAGAAGCTGAAACAATATCGTCTGCTTGAGAATCCTTCTTACAGTCTCTCTTCTGCTTTTCTTCCTGGTCCAGCTCATCAAACATTTTAATTTTGGTCACCATTTTGAACATCTCTTCTTCTGGTGTAAACCTTTTCTTTGGCTCCCCTTCTAAATCATCTTCTGGTTCTTCATTGACTTCTGGGATCACAGCTGATTTGGATATGTTTGATAGTACCTGTGAATCTGCTAATTTGGGAGTGATTTCATAACTAATTTCCTCGGAGCTCGGAGTCTCTGGTGAAAGAGGACTTTTGCCTGAGCTCTCCATCAATGATGTTTGTTCCAAGCTGTCATCTTCAGCACTTCCATCAGGGTCTCGCAAAAGCCTGGACCGTACAGGTGCCAGCTCAGGGAAATTTTCTGCTTTGGCAGGGGCAGTCTGAATGAGACCAGGTCCTGGAAGAATTCCAATCTTTGACTTTTGCTCTACAGGGCTGCTTTCCAAAGAATCACGACAGGGAGATTCCTTGGTAGGACTAGGCTCAAGGGAATCGGGTGTTTTGCGTGATGAATTATCTTCCAACACTGGGCTTGCTTCCAGTGAATCTTTATGGCTTATAGCTATGGATTCATCAGCAACTGGGCTAAGACCTTCACTCTCATGGCTAGAAAGCAAAAGTTCCAGTCCTTTACTAACAGTTTGGTGTACCGGGTCTGAATCCTTCTCTTTCTCTAAAGAAGTGTCATGTATTTCATTCAACTTAGTTAAATGTCCTTGTGTGGTAGGCACTGATACCTCATCCCTGACAGAATGCTTACTAATAGAAATTGAGCTAGGATCTGTACATGTGTCTGTCTCTTCCTTGGAAGCTGTAATTTGTAATTCTTTTGACAAATGATGGCAATCAGACTCTACAGTCTCTGTGATGTCTTTTAGGCCTTTGTCAGAAATTGTTCTTTCAACTTTTGTTGGAGAACGTTCCTTTGGTGAATGTGGTTCTGGTGTTTTCTGCACTGCACTGGCTAGTTCTGTTTCTTCCAACTGACCAAGAGTTTCTGTTTTCTTTGGTGAGAAAGACAGGCTCTCGGGGCTTGTTTCTGGAGTTTCTGCCAGGCCCTCATGCTTATAACTTTCCTCAGAGCTGATCTGTGGGGTTCCATCAAGCAGGCTACCAATCGGAGAATCTGCTATGCCTTCATGCTTAAGGCTCTCTGAGCTGCCATCCAAAGCACCACTTTGCAAGGAGAGGGTGGGCAAAAACCCATCTTTCACATATTCTGATGGAAATGTAACATTGAATGGACTGGTCAGTACTTGATCTAAGTGAAGCTCACCTTCCTCAGTAATTGAAATGTGCCGGAACTGTTGGTATTTGTCATTGTCCTCAAGTTCTTCCTTTATGACAGCAGAAAAATCTGTTGAAGTCTTTCTGTCAGGGCTGATCTGGAGTTCAGTCTCTCCATGGTCCTCAAATGTCAAGGTCACATCCTTAGTAGTTTCATCATCAGCTATGACTACTGCAGAAAGTTTTTTGTCAATCTTGCCACTCTGCTCTTTTGCCTGTTGTGTGGCTGAATCTCCTTTCAAAGTTATGTCAGGAATACCCTGTGCCTCTTTTTTAGATTGCAAACCTACCTCTGCCTGAGGTTCCTGGCTTTTTTTGCTCTTGGGACTCTCTTTTCTGGATGCCTCTTTTTGTGTCAATGCTTGTTTCTTTTCACTCTCCACCTGAGTGACCCCTTTCTTAGCTGGCTCTTTGTCAGAGGTCTGCTGTTTCTGCTTTATAGACTTATGCTCAAAAAGTCCAGCTTTATGCTTCGATGGGTCTTGGCCTGACTGGAAGGCTTTCATCAGTTCACGAACAGACATAGTTTCTTCAAGTCTTTCTGTTTTGGAAGATGGTGACACTGGAGGCTTCCTAGCTGTGGGAGAAATAGGCGGTTTCTTAGATGTGGGCGAAGGTGGCTTCTTAGCTGTGGGTGAAACAGCTTTCTTGGCAGCTGGAGAAGAGGAGAGTTTCGAGGCAGAGGGAGAAGATGGTGATTTTGAGGCAGAGGGAGAAGATGGTGATTTTGAGGCAGTAGAAGATGGTAGTCTTGAGGCAGCAGGAGACACTGGTGATTTTGAGGCAGCAGGAGACGCTGATGATTTTGAGGCAGCAGGGGACGCTGGTGATTTTGAGGCAGCAGGAGACGCTGGTGATTTTGAGGCAGCAGGAGACGCTGGGAGCTTTGTTTTGTAAACAGTTTTTTTAACTTGTGATGGCTTTGAAACAGGCTTTTCAGATGCCCCATCTTTTCCTGGAAGCCTGACAGGTAATTTTGAACGTCCCTTCTGCTCATCCTCCACTCGCTTCTGAAGAGCTTTTACTTTATCTTTGATTGAGCCAATGGGAGTTTCTTCTATTACAGGAGACACAGCCTTTACTTTGGAAGGCTCTGCAGGGGCTAGCCCTTGATCTTCATCTAAAGACTCCTCAGAGCTAAACTTTGCTACCCCTGATGGTGCTTCTTTTCCTTGAGCTTCCTTGTCCTTTGGCTTTTGTTTTTCTTTCAATTTCTTTCTAACTGTTTTTTTAATTTCCAAGGTAGGTTTGCACTGATCTTGTTTCTCCTGGCTCTCAACAGCTGCAGAACCTTGCCCACCTTTGTCAGAAGCTCTGCTTACAACAACGGCTTCAAATCTCTCAGCTACTGCATCTTCTTGAAAAGTCTGTGGCTGTACTTTGTTAAGTGACACATATGCATTGAGATCCTTGCTGAGATAATCTACCATCCCTGACATATCTTTCTTTTCTTTCTCTGGTTTTCCTTCACCTATTCTGATTTCGACACAGGTAGGCTCTATGGCTTCCAAAGGAACATTTTGTTTGGCCTCTTCAATTTCTTCATCACTTACAACAACCCATTCTTCTTCTATCAACTGTGTTTCAGAACTGGATCTCTTAACAGTTGGCTGTTCTCTGGGGCAGCTTCCGCTTCTCAGAATTTCATTGACTTTCTCTAAGTCTTCTTTAACTCTTTCCACAATTTCAAAAGGTTCTCCTGGTTCTTCATCCGCAGCTTTCACAAGATCTTTCACCTTAATGGAGCCTGACTTTTCAGAAGCATCTGTTGTCAAGATGGCAGTCATTTTGATCAAGTCTTGTTTCATCTCAGAGACTTCAGAAAGCAAATCTGGACTGGCTAGCACAGGGACTTCATTGACAAGATGACTTTTCAGGATCGATGTTTCAGTTGATTCTGTTTCATCATCATCTTTTATGCAAATGGGGGAAAAACATTGAAAATAAATGGAAATCAAAAATAGAGATTGAAAAACGTAATCAGGACTGAAATCACTGTCTTTGATTGCAGCAGTAGGAGAGTCAACAAAATGGTCTGGGTATGGTGGATCCACAAATCTGAGGGTGAAAAAAAAAGCAAAGCAAAGCTAACGGGAAAAACTGAAAAGGAAAGTGGGCAGGAAATAACTTGCTTAGTTTTTGCAGTACAGCACATCCACACATACAACACCGAAGCTTTTGTAAACCAAGAACATTATAAAAACAAGGATGGAGGGGGAAAAAAGAACAGTGAATTTTTCACACAAAGGCATCTCAAGATTGTTCAGGTGTTACAGACCAATGTTCAAATAAAAATACAGAAGAACAAAAGGGGGGGGGCTTTGTAATTGATTGAAAGTGGATCTCCTCTAAGAGAAAGCCAGTGATAGCAAACTGTCAGAACCAAAATTAAACACTTTTGCATAATAATCAAAAGTCCAAAATTCCGTATTTACATTTAATTATGCAATACTCTATGATAAACAAAAATACATTGATATCTGAGGCAGCTGCAAACCGGCATTTCATCTAAGGGGAATATGTGACATCCAAACAGGGATACGCACACACAGACTTTGGTGTCAAGAGGCATGGTCCTTTCCTTGGAACATCCTCGTTGTTCAAAACAAATAATGAATAGATCAAAGGAAAGAAATCAAAATAAAGGAAGAATAAGAGGGAAGGAAAACTCAAATAGTGAGTAGCTCAACAGTGAATTTCAAGGTTAGAAAAAATGTAATGCACAGCACCCAAAGACATTCATACAGGGCACATATACGCAAACATACACACAATATAATATGTAAGCCAAGTTATTTCCATGCAAAGCAAAGCTGTTGCATACATTGCAGGGTAAGTATCCTTACATTGGAAAACAAAAACAAAACCTAAATGGATATAAATGAAAAAGGCATAAAATTATAGGCAATATACTGTGGTGAAGTGTTTATTTACTTCCTAGAATCAACGTGTAAAGTATCATGTTTGGAAATAATTTAGAAAGGTGACAATATAGAAGAGAGTTAGAAGTGATGGAGGGGAATCTTACATCAGGAAATATATAAATATCTATGCTATGGAAAACTCAGTTTTTCAATGAACAAATTTTGTTACAACTCTTACAAGACCCTCAGAGCTGTGTGAAATAAACTGTGAGATTGTGGGCCAACCAGTAAACTTTATGGATAACAGAAGGATGTGGGAGGGGGACTAAGGAGTCCACTTAGGAAAGAGGCAAAAAAGAGAGAAGCCTGACCAGAGTGAAACCACAGTCCAGCCAACAAATGAGCAGAAATCAGAATGCAACCAGGTCACCGTAAGGTTCCAGTTTAATTTCCCTACCCTGACCCGTTTAGCCCCATTGTGCTTGATATGTCAATTCAAGTCTCCAAAAGTTTTTCTCAGTAAACTAGGACTTCATTCTTAGGTCCTGCTTCTAGTTAAGAGCTGCCTGTATTAGGACCATGGGTAACAAAAAAAAATGATCAAGAACAATCTTTCTAGTAATGGAGTTCATTATTCACAGTACTGAGAGCCATCTATTTCAGAGTATTGTCACAAATAGAGATGCAGTTCAATTGGCTACACTGGGGGACTTTCCATTTTAACACCCAGTGTTAGGGTACTTTGCAGGATATATGCACGGTAATGGGGGACAAAAAGTATGGTCAGCCAAAGGTGAGCACTTTAACACTTTATCGAAATCAATGGGCTCTAGAAGTTTGTAAATATGCCTAGATCATATTCACTGTATTTCAGTGTTCAGTGGTGACGTGGTATACACCTCCTCAGAAGAGATTTAAGTGGACTGCCTTCATTTGAATTTTAACTAAGAGAAGTTTTGCCAAAATAATTCTTTGTTATTGAATATCTAGATACAAATGTCCCCTTTTCTTTTTAGTTCAACCTTTAGTTTCCAACTAGGAAGAGAGTTCTAAGCCATAAATATGCTGGAAAACAAACTTCACCACAGTAATAGGGAGGGGGAGTGAATGGAATCTGGTTATTGAGAACAGTATCACTTTTATGTGCATACATTTAATATAAACAGTTCAATGAAGCAATTTAAGTAGTTTGTAGAAGATTTTATTTCTAAAAAGTGATACTGTAATTTATTTTAAAAACACAATATGTCAAACATACAAAAATAATTTTTTAAAAAATCATAAAATGGGGGATTTAAACAAATCTAACAGCAATAGCAGGGTAACCAGGGGATGTCAAAAGGAAAGTGAATGCTTAGATGAACTGTCTTACTGTTTTAATTTGTAACTATTAGTAACACACTAAATAACACATGAAGCTTAATATATAATATTGTTCTGCTGAGAAAATTAATATTGTCATCAGTGGTAATTAGAGTCTGCAATCTCTTGCATGCTTAACTTTATTAGTAGGCTATTTTTGTGCTTGCCATTGGGTTTTTAATTAAAATCTTACGTTTTTCTGAAGTTGTATCAATCTGAAAAAGAACACAAACAGAGTGAAATGATTTGTCTCACCTGTCCTAGTGGAACGTTTCTGGAACATCAGCGAAAATAAAATGCATCCCAGATGTGCAAAACGTGAGGTCTGATTCTCAACACACACCCTTGGAAGTAATCCCCCCTGAGATCAGTGAGGCTTATTTCCCCAAAAGTAAGCTTAGCAGTGTAGCTTCATTGTTTATCAGACCACATGAATTCTAAAGGAGTCTGTCATGCTATTAAGTCACTAGTAAAACTAAATAGTAAAAGCTGAAACATACATAACTGAACTTGACAGAGAGAAACGATGAACCCAGTGGAAGGGGCAAACACGTTACTTTTTATCCAGCAATAATGAGAACATCAGAACAATATTTTAAGAAATCAGTTAGCAGCAAGAGTGGGAAGACAGACATAGCTTGGAAAAACCTAAAAAAACAAAACCCCAAACCCCTAGATGCATAACATAAGCAATAGCTGGTGTCTGATTATGACCAGAATTCTGATCTACAGTCTATATCCTTACATAAATTATTAAGTGATAATATTCAGTTTTAATACAGATTAAATAATAATAGATTAGCAGATTAGATACTGCTAATCTATTATTAATATATTCCCTTTTATCTTTCTCTAACACATGGACTCAAGGTGAATTCCAAATCAATGAAATAAACTGATAAGTGAAATAAAGATGGACTTACACATAGTAATTTTGAAATGCCCAAGACCAATATTTGGAATTAATAATACTTTGATACTGGATACTATTATGAGCTTTACACTCTGTACACTAGTTAATCATCACTAGATTGCCTTGGTGCAAGAAATCTTATGCAAGACAACAACAGATGCAATTTGTCTGGGAATCAGAGATGACTCCTAACCTGTGGCATCTCCAACAGAAAAAGACTCCAACATTATGTCCTAGATAAGGGAAGGGAAGGGCACAGAACATAGCGGCCTAAGAGGTCAACTATTCACCATCTGATGGGCGCAATCATTCCATTAAAGTGGGATTCAAGTGTTAATATAGGTAAACAGGACACAGATGTCAGTGTTCACATCTAAGTGGAAGACTTTTGTTTAGCTATGGCAGCACAAATTGCTTGTTGTCTTTCATCAAAAGCCACTTGACAGGAACAGGAACTTGACAGGCATTATGATCAGTAAACTGATTGCAAATTCCCAACAAAGATTTTCTCTGGATCATTTTGTGCAACAACTGAGATACAGAGTAACAATTAAGTGCAAATCATGTCAGGCCTTTCATATTCAAAGAGTTCCAAAATGTTTCCAACAGCATACTCCTCTCTCTCTTTTTGCTAGAGGCCAACTGATTTGGTAGCACTCAAAATGACAGTAATCTTTTGTTTGTTTCTGCAGCTAAGCAATCTAGAAGGTATTTCCAAGACTTCAAGCTATAGTTTCTCATTTAGTCACTGATTTAAAGTAAATATAAAAGAAAGATGCACACAGTGATGTCACTGGGCTTTCCTGCTCCTTTTTGGGTCATTTGCTTCTCCCCAAAAAACATTTATGAATACGAGCAGATCCTGAGGTATTGTGCAATCTGGTGCTAGGAGGAAGACAATTGGTGAACTCTCCCTTTATGTCATCAGGTCTCTTTAGATCCTGGACACAGTTGTATTATAGAAAATCTAAGTGGTGTTCTATTACAAAAATTACCTCTTCTTCCTGTTCTTGATCTGATTCTGATTCCTTTCAGCCCAATATGTCATGCAAGGGAAAAAAACAGAGCAGGGAAAGACAGGATTATAGTTAAAGGAAAAGAATGATTTCTGGGCACATTCAACAGGCAAGACAATCAAACAAGCACAGTTTTATCCAGTCCTACCTACAAGGGAACAACAGGGTCAGATACAATCAGAAAAGCTAGGAGATCAAGGAAATTAAATAAAGGAAAGCTGTCTACAAATGCTTGCCTTATATCTAATTATTTATAGTGACCATTAAAAATATCTAGATAATTACTTCTCAGTCATCAGATCAGGACCCAGTACTGGACCTAAACAGCTTCCTAAAAGGTCCCTGAGATGAAGAAAACATTTTGAATGTATTTATTTTTGTATATCTTTAATATGTCAAAATTAAAGTAGTGACTTTTAAATTCTAACAAAATGAAATCAACATACACGCTATATCAGACAGGTTTCCTCTGTATTTAATTATACAGGTGACTGACTCACACACATGAACCATATAACGTCAGAAGAGAGAATTCACAGGCGAGCACCTTTTGTTGGGGGGGGGAGGAAGGGCTCTGGAATCAGAAACCTATTTACTGAAGTTACTTCATAATTTTTATGAGTTCGCTCCTCCCAGATTTCTGAGCTATTTACATTAAAGCACAAGACTGATACAATGGCCGCGTTCAGACTGGCAGTTTGGCCCAGCAGGCAAACGTTTGAGGAGTGTTTCAGTAGCGAATTAAAGGGGCGGGTTCACACAGGCACACGTTTCAGGCGTCCCCCAGCTGTACTCAAGTCATCTTGTGCCACTTCTCTCCCGAGTTTAAAAGATACCATGTTAAAGTAGTAGCAAACCGTGTATACAGCGCGTTGATTCCGATTCCCTGAGTGTGAACGCAAGCGCTGCTAAGGCGGGAACAACCCGCAGTTGATAATAGGTGCCAGCTGGTTCCACAGCAGGTGCATGTGCACATGTGCGCACGTGCACACGACTGGAATGCTCCGGCGTGCCGAGTGGAAGTGTGGAGTTGATCCTGCCCTATTTGCTGATGTGCCCATGCACATAGGCGCAGGCAGCCAAGTATGGAAACCATGCTAACAACCTGCCAGGGCGGGCGACAGTGCGAACGCTCCCTTACGCTTCCTCCACGGTATCCTCCCGCTTCATTCACTGCAGTGTGAATGGGAATACTGGGAATAAGCTGTTCCAGGTCTACTCCATTTTTTCTTTGCCACGACTCCCTAGCGCTTCAAATTGCCAGTCTGAACTCGTCCAATATATGAGCAGACTCTTAGAATGTATGCTGTTCCAATATACAAGAGTTTTGTTTTAAACTGTTCCATATTTTGATGTATAATCTAGGAAACTGTGTTTAGTGGGGCATGGTATGTATACAATTCCGAGTCACTGATCTAGAAAATATTTCAAGTTTATAATTTATCATTATGTATTTTAAAAATAGCTTAGACCTTCATCAATGGCTTCGCCCAAAAGACAGAATGCTGATGCTGTAGATAATGGGATTAAGGATGTCTCAAAAGTTAGAGTGACAGCTCAATCAGTAAGTGAAGGCCTTGTAATCCTAGTACTATTGTAAATTGTACTGGAAAGTACCTTTGTGTAAACTGGTAACGTGATATTCAGATTGCAGATGGCTTGATGCACTAGGCCTCTTGAAGATTTAGGTTCTTTCATAAATGACAGGCGTCCACAGGATTCTTGAGTTGTGTCCCGAACCTAATAAGAATATACAAGAACTCAGAGTCACATTTTTTTTATTTTTTAAATTTTAATGTGCTCTCTCTCTAAGCTTCAGTATAAAAAACAAAAAAGATGAAAAGATGTGACATTATACACATTATTAAATACGACTGATAATAGCAGCTTTGATGGGGGGGGATGGTCTAATATGGCTGTTTCAAAGATTTGCAAAAGGAAACCTTATCATCTAGGTTTGGGAAAAACATTTATTATTTATTTACTTGATTTATAGCCCATCTTTCTCAAGACGGATTATGAAATATAGAAAACAAAATTAAATCAGACTATATGAGATGTTCAGTAAATAATACAATAGTACTAGCATTACAGAATTAGAAAAGAATGCAGAAATTTAAAAAAACTATCTCAGGTGTTACAATAAGTGGATTTCACAGGCAGTAAAAACAAGTTGATACATACAACCAAACATGGCACAGACCTTAGTCTTACTTTTCTCCCTTTCTCACAATACAAGAACTCGTGGGCACTCCATGAAATTGCTGAGCGGTTGGGTTAGAACGGATAAAAGGAAGTACTTCTTCACCCAAAGAGTGATTAACACTTGGAATTCACTGCCACAGGAAGTGGTGGCGGCTACAAGCATGGACGGCTTCAAAAGGGAATTAGATAGGCATACGGAGCAGAGGTCCATCAGTGGCTATTAGCCACAAGGTATAAATAGGGACTCTGGGGCAAGTGATGCTCTGTCTTCTCGGTGCTTGGGGGGGGGGGGTCAACAGTGGGAGGGCTTCTAATGTCCTGGCCCCACTGGTGGACCTCCTGATGGCACTGGTATTTCTGGCCACTGTGTGATACAGAGTGTTGGACTGGATGGGCCTTTGGCCTGATCCAACATTGGCATCTCTTATGTTCTTATGTTATGTTCTATTCTCTCATAAAGGTGACCTCCTGAACTGTTTCCTTTTATTCTGTCATATATGGTACTTTAGAATTATACCATTTGTTAACCACTGATATTTTAGCTATTCCACATTAATAAGAAATAGGTATTTCTCAGAAGGGCACTAATCTCCTCAGAGGACTAAATTTGGCTATTAATAACATTTATGTCACAGAGAAATTTCTTCCAAAAGATTTAAACAAACAAAGCATTACCTTCAAATGGAACTCCCTTGCCTTCGTAACTCACTTATAGCAATAATTGTAATAGTTTTGAAACTAGTGCCTTCTTTATCTATCCAGTTCTACAAAATACACTGAACAATTTTCAGGTGTTGAGAACCCAATTAGCAGAATCAATCCATTCCATTAATTTAGTTTTACCACTGGAATTAGTATAGTTAAACCCAGATTATTTGAGGTTGTATATGGATATAATATATTATATTGCTATATGTTATAAAACTATATTATAACAAAGTCGTTCAAGAAGATGCTTTTATAAAAGGAATGAGACTGTAATCTCCAGACAGTTTGGTGTAGTGGTTAAGTGTGCGGACTCTAATCTGGGAGAACCGGGTTTGATTCCCCACTCCTCCACTTGCACCTGCTGATGTGACCTTGGGTCAGTCACAAGCTCTGGCACAGCTGTTCCTGAAAGAGCAGTTTGTGTCAGAGTTCTCTCAGGGTGTCTGTTGTGGGGAGGGGAAGGGAAAGGAGTTTGTAAACCGCTCTGAGACTCCAAGGGAAGGGCGGGGCATAAATCCAATCTCCTCTTCCTCTTCTTCTTCTATACCACTGTGGACAGTATGTATTATCTGTTTATGTTTTTCTACTGATGTAATACCATTTTCTGTACAACAGGTCTAATGCTTTATGCTTTGTTTCAGACTGCTGTAATCCTAGTCCTATCACATCGCTTAATTGATGTCTCATCCTATTGATTGCACTGATTTACACTGTGTAATCCACCTTTTTTCTCAATGAGAAAGGCAGACTATTAATAAAGTTAAAAAAGCAACATTGCTGCTTGATGAATGTTCACAACAGTCACCACAGAACAAATCCCCAAAATGCCTATTTAACTTTACCTTTACAAACAATGGAAGTCTATTTTCTTTGAAGGCATAAAAACTGAATATGTGATGCTGGCCACTCTTTGTTAGTGGTACTAGATTTCCAAAGCAGTCCACGTAGATGGGCTTTCCTTCTAGCACCTACATAAATAAGGAACAAAACAATAAGACTATCATGGATTTTATTCTAATTCTGTTTTAACAAGGAGAATGGATTTCATTTTGATTTCAAAATGATATTAAAACAAAATGGCATTAACAGAATGCAGTACCAAAAAACTCTGAAATCTACAAGCCCAGCAAACAAACAACAAACCCCCACAACAGACTGCAACCCATTAAGGAATGCATTATTCATCTTATAGTTTTTAATTTACACTGGTTTCCCTATTGCATTGCTGTTCCAACTTTTAAATCTCTACTTCACTGTGACTGCATAAAAATGGATTCCAGAAGGCACTGCGCACTAGAGTTGGGGATTTGTCTCCATTCACCACACGTGCTACTGCACGGCAGTGCCCCATACCCTCAATACCTCGTATACCACCAGAGAAAGCATGTAGCAAGGCAGGAGGGAGTCTATGTAAGAGCAACCCTGTTTTCATCGTCATTCTTCTGTGCATTCCCACATGGGGATTCTAGCAAGCTAAAGATAAGAGGTGGGACATGCTCACCTATTTAAATAGGGACTGAAGAACAGTTGTTCCCAGCAGGGCCTCTCTGCTAGCCTACAAGTCCAAGGCATAATGACAAACAAAGGTGTCCGTCAAAGACCATGTGGCAGCCCAGCAGATCTCAGTCAGCAGAATACCACTCCAAAATGCTGTAGATGAGGCCAAAGCCCTAGGGGAATATGCACGAACCTCTAAAGCAGAGGTGTTGAACACATTTGTTACGAAGGTCGGATCTGACATAAATGTTACTTTATCGGGCTGGATCATGTGTGCTACAAGATGTGATGCCAGGGACCAGAGATACAAACTTTATAAATGACACAGGCAAACCCAATTAACAATATTATTATGTGAGCTGGAGGCTGAAAAACTGTGAGCTAGCTCACACTAACTCAGCTTAGAAGGAACACTGGTCATGATCTGGGCTGTGCCACCAGAGGCCTACTAGGCCCAGAGAGTCTGGCTAGTAGTAGGTGAGGCTGGGCCTACAACTCCCAGAAGCCCCTGAGAAGTTTTGGAGCCAAAATTGACCAATAGAAAAAGAGGAGGGCTTGGAATAAAAGATCTGGTGCAGCAGCAACAGCTGTTCTTTTCCCCAGGAGACAGAGCCAGAAAGGACTGAGGCTGCTGTAGGGAAGAGACCCTCATCCTGAGGGAAGGGTGAGTGGTCTAGTGTCACTTGGAATAGTGAGCTAGGGACAGTATATATTTAGAAGTGTTAGGGCATTTGATTTACTTTTCACCCACTTACTGTTATATTTCTGCACCTTGTTTGTTTGACCTCTTATAAAATAAACTATTTTTATTGTTCACTCTGCCTGGTTCTTACACCTATTATTCAGCCAAAAGGGAGGTTTAAAGGTCTTGGGAGGGTGCTTTGGGCCTTCTCAAGGGAGCCTGGAACCAGAGTGGTGGCAGCGTCAGGTGACACCACACCTGAGCCGTGACATGGTGGCTGTAGCGGTGGGATGAACTAATTTTGGACCCTGGTGAGGCAAAGTGCCATTTGGCCTTGGCAGATAATTTTTTTTTTTTTTTTTTTCTTTTGGGCTTTAGGGAGCCCCCTTGTTTGAAGGGGCTTGCAAGACCAAGTAAGGGTCTCTTAAGGTTTTGTTTATGTTCTAGTTGTCGGGTCAACTGGATAGTGAGGCAGAGTTAGATAGTGCATGTTCCTCTGATCTGGGAAAGAAAAATCAGAGGACACACCCATGTCTAGAAGCAAGACCAGAGCAGGGGCTGCTGATCAGATATCTCAGGAGAAAGCAGACAGAAAGATGGCAACCCCAAGTGAAGAGACCTTGCGTCTCCAGCTGCAACTTAAGCAGGCAGAGCTGGAGTTAGAGAAAGCAAGGCTGCAGAAAGAGAAAGAGCTGGAAAGGTACAAAATACTGAAGGAAGAGATAGGGAAGGCAGCCCAGAGAGAACTGGAGAGAATGAGGATGGCACACAAGCTAGAAATGGCAAAGTTGAGAAAAGGGCCACCTTCACTTCCTCCAGTTGCTGATGTACAAGGGGATAGAAGGAAGTATCCTCTGTATAATGAAGGCTGGAGTGGATCATGGAAGGTAGCTGTGCATGATTATACCTCGGTAGCCATGTTTGTGGGGGAAGATTTAGAGGAGCAGATGACTGTGGAACCCAGAGTCCATGAACCTGAGATGGCAGAAAAGAAGGCCAATCCAGAGGAAGATGTCCACCTGAAGTTCTTAAAGGACTTTGAAGCTGTTCCTGAGGAACCCAGCTGGAAAACTGATGTCTACATAGGGGTGTTAATCTGTCGTCAGTCTGAGAAGAAGCAGCAGCAAGGTGAGTACACCCCGGCAACTTCTCCAGACCCTGTTGCAGAGCCGATGGTGGTAGAGTCTCCTCCAGTGACTCTGACTGCATTCCAGGAGGATCAAGAGGAGGACGCCAGCATGGAAGAAGTCCGTATCAACTTTGTTTGGATGACTTTCCACGCAACTATGCTGCTCAAATCAGTGAACAACAATCAGGCCTTCTCAAGGGAGCCTGGAAGCAGAGAGGTGGCAGCATCAGGTGACACCACACCTGAGCTGTGACAGATGCACAAAGGCAATTTTATTCAGCTTCCATTGCATCTGCTAGCTCTTGCCTGGTGCAATTGTTAAGGTGATTAAGTCCTTAATGTATTCCACTGAGATAACAAAAAAAATTAGTAATTTGACCATTAGCTGTAAGGCATTTGTGAGCTTCTTTGTGGATAAAGTATTGTTGCTCTGCTGCGACCTAACCGCCAATGTTGATACAATAAGGGAACTGGGGGGCCCTTGGCCATCTTTGGAGTCAGTATTTGACAACTTCAGCTGGCTCTCCTTTGCCAACGTTGACAGGATCCTGTATGCTATTAGGCAAACCACATGCCTCTTGGACCCGTGTCCCTCATGGCTGGTAAAAGCCAGTGGTGAGAAAAGATGCAACCACCTGGTGGACATAATCAATCTGTCCCTGGAGTCAGGGGCCTATCCAGCAGGGTTGAAAGAGGCTGTGGTGGTACTGCTCTTGAAAAAACCATCTCTGGATCCTACAGATCCTTCCATTTACTGCCCAGTTTCGAACTGTACCAACCAATGTAAACCGCCCTGAGCCTGCTCGCGGGGAGGGTGGGGTACAAATTAAATAAATAAATAAATAATAATCAAAACCATCTTGAAGACAGGATATGGGTACAGATGATGTGTATAGAAACGCACACTTGGATCCAGGTACCTGTGGAAATGGCCCTTCCAGTTCTCCAGATATTGAGGAGACATGGGGTATGGCTTTGACGGCCATTATGGTGGTGTGCAACGTTGGGACCCTGGGAACTTGGACTCTGTTGACCTGCTCTGCCTGGTGCTCTCCCTGTCCACAGAATCACCCTGGCTGTGGTGGAGTTGAAAGGGGGTAGCTCCGGATCCCCAAAGCAAAGGGACGCATCATGGAACTATGATAGGCAAAGTCCTTACCATGCTTTGCAGCAAACAAATAAACAAAAACCAAATTGCAACACATAGGAACCCAGGGCAAAGCAAAGCCTCCTGGCCCCTGACTAAGCTTGCTAAGCAATCCTCTCCATCACCCCCAGCAGCAAAGCTCTTTCACGAGTACAGCCTCTCCGTCCAAAACCACACCAACAAAGAGAACACGCACTCGTCCTATCCTTATATAGATCAGAGCCCCATTGCAACAAATGGGAATTTTGCTATTGGAAGGTAGCAGTGCCTGCCTGTCAAGCTTTGAAGGGTCCCTGTTTGTGCTTCCGAAGTTGGAAAACACCACACCCACTGCTGTCTAGTATTTTTGCGCCAGAGTTTCTGGGTGGGTTTCATTTTCTGAACAGCCTCAACCTGCGCCCAAAAGCTCAGAGATTTCTTTGGAGACTATGTGTGTGCCAAAATTCACTTCCTGAGCCCCAATCCAGCCAGAATTCGGCACAACGTTTGGCTTGTCATGTGGTTTGTGCCCATCCCTAAATTCTAATGTTATCTGCAATATCAAATAACCTATTTTTTTATCTCAATGTATAATAGACACTTGATTTTCAGTTATATTCAGAGACAGAAAACAAATAACTTTTCAATGTATTACTTGTTTCTGCACCCAAAGTACAGTGAAGACACAGGAAGGATCCACAGGGTTGGTTGCAGGAACAGAGGGCACTTTCACTCATACAAATCACCCTGATTTTTGTAAAGCTGTAGCCCCTGGGCCATATCTCATACCATTCCCAAGGGTCCTCTGGCTCTCGTTAGGTGCTGGGGGTACAAGGGGTGGCAGCAGGAAGGAAAAGGCAGGAAAGATGTATTTTGCAACTGAAACTACACTTACAATTGTTTGGTTCCAACATTATCATTTTAGAAATACAAATATTTTGAACAAAGTTCCTCATTTTGTAATATCTTAAAATCATACCTCTACATCTCTGCTTCGAGCAACTTCAGCAAAGTTTTCTTGTTGTTCTAGCGTTTTATCCACCTTATCATCTGTCATGCAGAAACATCTCAATCGTGCTTCTATGGGATCATGTGATTTGGCAAACACTACAAATTTGGCCATGTAGGGTACGCAAATAATTTCTCTGTACACTTGGGAAGCAAATGTAACGGATTCTTGTATCTGTCTACAATCTATCAACCAAAACCTGCAAATAAATACAGCAAATTATTGTAATGTCAATGAAGAAAAAGCAGTTCAGCTCTGATTCAGAATTTTTCCAGGTATCACACTACCACTGTAGCTTTCAAATACTATATATAAAACCTTAAAGAAATTATTAAATAATCAATTAACCCAGCATCTGGACTGCAGCATGGAATCCAGGTGTAATATGGAATGGTCAGTTCGTAGTTTCTGTAGATGTATCGCATATGTGGAGAAGCATTCAGAGTTAAGTGTACTGTGGTCTTTGAGCTATGAATCCCACTACCAAGACAGCACCTTTAAATGGGGAGGAAAGCTATGGGCTGAGTCCTATTTCTGCCTGAAAGCTGCCATAGAGTGGGGAGGAAAGCTATGGGTCCTATTTCTGCCTGAAAGCTGCCATAGACTCTCAGTCTCCAGGCCCTGGTGCAGGAAAGTGCTGTCAACCCCATGTCCCAAGGCCTGGGGGACACTATTGGAGGTCCAGTCTGACTACATTTTATATATGACATGGATCACTCAAAATCAGTGCTTCCCCCCATTCTAGACTTTGCCAGAAACTTTCAGCATAAACTATCATGCAGGTATTTTATTGGTATTTCAACAGCTTTTCTCTTGACTCAGCAAAGTAGCCTAGATAATGTCATTAGGAAGTAGGGGGACAGAAGAATTCTAAGATGACAGAAGCTACAAGATGCTCATTTCTTATTCTATAACAGCTGGTATAAAACATTCTTTTTAACTAGTACTATTCTATTGCTTTCATTCACATTAGAGCAATAATGGGGATGTCTCTTATCATAGTCTTTAACAAACTCATTAGTAAAAAATAATGATTTATGCATAATAGTCTATACTTCAAGTTAATTTTCTCTAGGTTAAATCAAACAAAGCAGGTTAGCCATACTTCATGAAACATTTCAAAGAGAAGGAATATGAAGAATATTATGGTCATTAGGAATAGCAACCTCCTATTACTGCAGGAGCATAGCCAATATATCATTTGAAGTGTTTATGCTATATCCATTCCTTTCTCCTAGTCTCTGTTCCAGAGATATGGCAAGTCTATTCCAGGCTTTACACTGGAATAGCTTGGCAGCAGAATTCTAAGATACTGACTGAGATGAAGGAGTGGATCAATTAGAACAATACCAGTGGTTGAGATGGAGTGGATCAATTAGAACAATACCAGTGCCATCCTAAACACAGTTCTACCTTTCTAAATCAACTGAATTCAAGGGGATTAGAAGAGTGCAATTCTACTTAGGATAACACTGTATGTTATCTAATTTTTTACATTGGAAGTTTAGCAGAGCTATAAATGTACATGTGCATGAGTGCATATAAACACAGAGTTGATAAGCAAAGCTGAATATACAATGTTTAGTGCAGGTTCAAATACTGATATAATGTTCTTGTTTTGTTTTGTGGTACCTGGCAGATACATTTGTGGTGAAGGAAACACATTCATTGACAAATGTTAATGGCGTTGTTCCTGTAATGTCTTCCCACTGAGCAGGTGTTGTTCCACCTAAAATGAAAGAGGACAAATTGCAATAAGGAGTTTCTGTAACAAAGTTAAGTACACACATACACTGTGTTGGATCCAGCCAACTTTTTAACTCAATCTCTCCCAGTTCTCCTCCTTATTGTTATTCCTGTTCCACATAACTTTTGTTCATGCAGGTCCCACCAAAGCCCTTTTGGTGGTCAAACAGGAATCCATCCTCTCTTTTTCAACACAAGAAAAACTGGTTGGATCCAACCCACTCTATTAATCATCACATTCCCAATAATCTAACTCTACAAACATTCCTAAAGCAGGCTAGCATTAAGATTAGCTGCCCTAATAAGCTCTCAAATGGCTACTAATGGAGGACTGATATGGACACTAGTTTTTCCAGCCAGTGGACAAAATATATATGACAGGAAACACTAATCTCTGTTGCTGTCTAATTTAAATATGTTATTGGACATTTCTAAATCTTCACATTTGCCTGATATTGGTAATTTATCTCTTCTGAGCAAAAAGGGTGTTTTTTTTGAGTGGCAGGGTTAATCTTTTGTCCTTAGACCACTTTTCCAAACAGAATCCATTTGAATGTCTCAAGTATTTCTCTCAAAAATCTTTCTATGACAGTAAATAAGGATATAGGAGAACATTAAGGAAGAGAATGTATATGTTTCTTGGTTATCATATGAAATTACATATAAGATAAAATATGTTTTACAATGGGCCAGTGAAGGGATAACAACAACTTCCTGTTAACTAGAATGGTAAATCAGGCAATAGGCTCAAAAAAGAAGCAGTCCCCGTGGTTAAGCAGTTTAGTCACAGGTATTAAAGTTCCCCATCACTAAGCTGAACTCCAGGTTTCCGATTCAGTGAAACTTTGAGTAACCTTAACCATAGCTATCACAGGTTCTGACAATGGCTAAGGAAGACATTGGATTCTGTGAAAGGAACAGATGTGGGGAGGAATCATACATATTCAAGAATAGCTTCTGGTTCACTAACCATGTTAAGCCGGAAGTCGGTGGTAGATCTGAACAGATACAGTATACAGAACCTTAAAATACCAGGCTTAGTTTTCTCCACTTCTTAAAAGTTATTTTTTTTCTTTTTAAAGGAGTAATATATATGCACATAGCAGGAACTGGTGTCATCCTTAATTACTAAGGACACATTTTTTTACCTCATTCATTATATTAATGAATTCTCACCATTTGAGTGATATGCTCACAATTTTATTTGTATTTCTTGAGCTACTTATTCTGGTTTTAGATACTGAACACATGGTTAGTATAAACAATCTTTCTCTTTGACACACACAAAGTAAATTATTATTCCAGCTATAGACCAGGGCCAGGTTATTTCATTTTGCTGTATGATCTAAGCAAGAGTTTCAATGAACAATAAGCACTAAGAAACACCAATGTATAATGTCACCATCCTGCACAGGGCTATCAAGGTATTTCATAAGCCTACCTGTTATACTGCACAGCAGTCTTAGTGTGGGTGTTTCACCCCCATATCCATTAATCATGACATCACTGGAAGCTTTGGGGACAGGAATAGTCATCGTTATTGGCTTATGGAATTTTCTTCTCCTGGGTTCCAATGTAACTATAGGGCTGAATGTAGCTTTGTTGCCTAAAATCTTCCTTATAAGTTCATTGTGCATAGGTTGGGCCTATCCAAAGATGTGGACAAAGGGAAGATATATATACATAAATGATTGTCTATTACCAACCAACACTACTTCACTATGCAACTGCTTCCTTTACCTTCCTTTGGTTTTTTCTGCTACCGCTAGTCTTCCTCCCTTTGCTGTTCATTTGTTCCCCCAGGTGTTTTCCTTGACCCTTTCACATTGGGATTGGTAGCTGGGGCATTAATTACCCACTCTGCTGTTTCTAGCATCTAGCATTATTTTTGCACACTGTTCCTTATCCAGTTCCTTATCCAGAAGCACACTGTTCCTTATCCAGAAGCAGCAGCACGGGACATCACCCCAAACCCCAATTGCCAGTCCTAGCTTAAAATTATAGGAAAACAGGAAAGGCACTTAGTAGCTGGTGGATGCAAGGAACTACAAAAAAGAGTGACAAGCTGTAGGGCTTTATAGAACATAACATGAAGATAGATTCAGGTGGGTAGCTGGGTTGGTCTGAAACAGCAGAGCAAAGTTTGAGTCCAGTGGCACCTTAAAGATCAGCAAAGTTTTATACTGAGTATAAGCTTTCGTGTGCATGCACACTAAGGAAGTGTGCATGCACATGAAAGCTTATATCCAGAATAAACCTTAGTTGGTCTTAAAGAAGCCACTGTACTCAGAGCATAACATGCTTTATGAATAATTTAATTAACCAATTCTTTCACTGCACCTTCAAAACATTTTACTAGTGCAAGTTCAGACTACCATTCAGATTTCCACATGAATTATGCTGGAATTACACTACTTACAGTTTCTGGAAAGAAGTTAATTGGTGTAAATAAAATTAAATATAGAAAGTCAGATACTAGCAAACTCAATATGGATTCTTTTGGTACAAAGAAGTATGTATATTTAAATATTCACTACTTTGCTCTGCTGCTTTTAACTTAATTTACTCCAGGTAGTGCTTTAGATAGAATATTGTAAGTACTACAGCAATACAGTAATTACTGTACATTCCACAACTGCCTGAGCTGAAATGAAGAGGTCTATACCTGCAGACCAACACGAATACGCTTTGTTAGTGCTCCTTCTGGAAAGACAGCCTGAACTTGAGGTACTACTGTACTGCTCAGTATTCCACCCTCAGGTCCAATCAGGTTACTGTCTTGTTTGATACGGGATACTACGGCAAAGTATTGTGGGAAGTCCCGAGTGATGATACGGCAAATGCGTTTCTTCTCCAACTCTTCAGGAGTGTCAAGGACTGAGTAAAAAGAGAATGTAGTTAAACAATATTTATTTAATATTGTAAACACTGACATTTCCAGAAAGAAAAAAATTATACAGAGATTTTACATAATGTGAAGATAAATGAAGGGTGAATAGAAGGTTCTCCAAACTGTCTATATTTTGTTCACACTGGCCATAATAAAAACAGAACCCTACAATATCCAACAATGTTTATGTAATTTTGATTTCAAATAGAGAAACCAATCTTGGTGCAGTAACATTTGACAATTAATTCATAAAAGGGGGAAAATCTAGAGGGAAAACCCAATTTAAAATTCCAGTGCAATCAGAGTTCTTTCCCCATAGCCTGCAGTGAACCCTGTAATGTTTTACTTGTCTTTCCCTTTTCCCTACTGATGCCATGAATGGCTGGACAACTGACTCTCTTTTACTAAGTCTTCCTTTAACAATGCAGGAGAAGGCAGTCCTAGAAGCGAACTAAACAGAAGGAACATGTGGGCTTCAACCCACAAATTTGATCGGACATGAACCTGGGTATGGTCCATCTTTCTATCCACTGAACCACAGGACATTAAACATTTATTTTTTATTTATTTTATTACATTTTATCCCCCCTCCCCCACAAGCGGGCTCAGGGCGACTCACATTTATCTGCAGCATGTGCTGAGTCAGCATAAAATATTTAAAAACAAATTAAAACAATCATACAATAACGTTGGCTTGGAGGAGAGTTAGTAATATGGGAACTGAACAGAAGATATGTATAGCAAATTATTTGTGGTAGCAGAATAGCTGAAAAACAGAAAGGCTGCTTTTATTTCCTTTCTGCGGCTTTCAGGTTTTCCATGCTCCTTGACTATTGAAACGGGTACCTTCATCCATCCCATTCAGGATTTCATTCAGTTCATCTTCTGTATATTCACAGAAATGTTCCTTCCAGTTGTCTCCATTCTCACTGCGCAGGATCACCAGTTCCCTTTCTTTCCCACGCAGAGCCGCAAAGTGAGGGATCTCGACAATCACAGGCCTATTGCAGCAACACAGCATATTAATAAACCGCAGCAATGAGGAAGGAACTAGATATGGATTTGTTCAGTCTGTTACAAAGTGACCTGGAATTCTACCTGCTTCTTTGCCATTCCTGAATGCAATCCCAAAAAATGCACACAAGTAGCACATGGTAGTAGGACCAATGAATCCTTCCCGTTGCTTTAGAACTGGCTAAAAAGACTGGGGCTTGTATGGGGCCTGCAGATTTTTTTCTTTCTTAAGATCCTCACAATTTAACTACTATTTTGATGCATGGAAGCCTGCGCAATCACACTGTCATGCAGAATCTACTGCTGTCTGTATATATCTATATGGACACCTTCAAGAAAAGGTATGATCTTATACTAGTGGAAAAAACAGACCTGCTCAAGAAACACACAGCACTAGTAATTAATTTGTACTGGTTGTAAATTAGCATTTTGGTTCCACTGATGTATTTGGCACAATTGATAACTAAAGAAAAAAGTCCAACATACAAAGGCTCTGCATTTCTACTAGTGCAAAGATCAAAATTTTGCTCTTTGGTGAACATATGGAATATATATATATACACACATATATTCATCATATCCACTTTGGTAAGAACTATGAATATATTGCATTCAATAGTCTTAACTAAACAAATCACATTGGCCATTCTGAATGCAGATGTCATCATGCTAGGTACTATGTTATATTCAACATATAACATATGCTCCTGTTTTGGTGGCAATGGAGGCCCAAAAAAAAGAGGTTACAGTAGATTCCTTCCGTTCCAATCCAGGTTGCTTTGCTACAGACACAGAATACATAACAGCAATAACAACTGGTACAATTTACAACTAAGACGTTCTCATGCTAAAACAAAAACGGAGGTCAAGGAACTTTAACAAAAGGTACAAACATATCACCAAAACAAAAACGACATATCACAGGGGCTGGAAAATGATCTACTAAAGGTTGAATATACAAAATTTTAAATCATAGAAAGGGGACAATGTCATGTGCACAGTGACATAATAAATAATATTGCAGAAGGAGAAGAATGGGGAGGCCAGCATCCATCAATTTGTTTTTAAGTCTCTCCTACCCAAGAAATTTGGTCCCTGGAGGCCCCAGCTGAAGGATTCGGCTGACCAAACTTTCTCCCTCATTAAGTGGGGGAGGAGCCGTAGGCAGGTGAAGTTTACTGAGTACATCCAAAGCAGCAGTGAAAGAAAGAAAATAAATATGCTTTATGTTTTCTTTTTCCAGAACCCATTGCCACTGTCTGCTCAGAGTGGAATTAGGCTGTACACTGAACAGGTTTCTGCCTTGATTTGTTTAGAATCAACAAAATGAGCCCCTATGAATTTGAACCTTATCAGCTCCACATTAGGTTCAGTGATATGTTAACCTTGCTTCTGATATTAATGCAAGCAAGATCCAGTTGCTATAATGGTGCACTTCAATTAAGATTTGGCTTGGCAAAAAGTGTTCAGTGACTCTGATTTCACTGCTAGGACGCCACCCAGAAAAGTGCCCAACAATACAAGACAAAGCCTTGAGAAACGATATGAAAACTCCTATCACACTGAGTTTTCATTGACATTCCTTGACTGAGAGGGGGGAAACTGTTGAGCATACTGTGACTCTATTGGAAGGAGAAGAAGCAGGTAAATAGAGGCAAAGGAAGAACTGAAAAATGTAACAGCCAAGGAATTATTTATTTGGGGTTGAACCTTTTGTTTATTAGTTTGTTTATTTTAAAAATCTAGTTCTGAAGATTATGTCAAAGGAAGGGAGTTTCATGTAAGTGTTAGAAGCATCCCCTTCATTATAGATGCATATCTATCTATAGTTCAGTATTCCTCTAATGAATTGTAGCAACAGCAAAATTATAGGAAAAAATGACTGATAGTTTCCCACCCTTCCTTGCACTGTAGACTGAGTTGCTAAATCACATCAAATTCTTTCTCTGGAGCTAATATTGATTAAGAAATATTTGGCTGACTAACTTGGGGTGATAGGCCTTTAGCATGTTTGATTTGCTTCAGAACAGATTTTAAGCTGTTCCCCTTTTGCATCTTCATCCTTTTGTCTGTTTGCAGCCGAAGCCATTCACTCTAAGCAGAAGGGTTTCCTCCGATCATCCATTCTTTGGATGCCACCATTGGTAAGGGGGGAAATTAGTCATAACATAAAAGTATTAATCTGCTAGTTTTAGCAGGAAAAAATGCTAAAACAAAGGTTGATGGAAAATTTCCATGTTGTGCTATGCCACAGTCCCAGAAAAATTACAGGTTTGTGCTTCCCAGGCAATCCCAAACAGTGACAAAAATACCCATGGAAAGGAGCTTCTGGTTGTGTTGTACCTTTTAAGAGGAATTCAATTTGCTTCCCCGACAACAGCTGCTATTTGTTATCCAAACTTAGAAATGAAATATCTCATTACCTGTCTATGATTAGTCTTACTCCAGGAAGCAAACCAAATCTTGAGTTGTAGCTATTGGCACTTTAAATAAATAGGTCTACAAGCTAATCCCATTAATGCTGGCCTAACAGTGTTTCAACTTGCACTCCAGAGCCATCACCCTATCACAAATTTGCCACGCTCTTTTTCACTTCTAGTGCTAAAGTGATGAACTATCCCAGATTATTATCACAAATAACAGAAATGATCTATTTCAGGTGGTCTTGTTTTTCTTTTCAGCAATCAAAAAGTCTTACCCAAGGAACTGAGCACCAGAGGGTCCAACTTCAATCAGACGGCTAGCCAGACCTTCTCCTTCCACCATGGGGGGCATTGTGGCCAGTCTGTGGCGCTTGACCAGCCTGCAGGTGACTCGTGTTGGAGCGGTGCATTTCCGAGGTGGAATAATGATTCGAAGCCCATTGTGCCTGCAACCCCGCATAGCTCCACCTCGAGCATCCACCATGAAACTGACCAGGAAACTGAAAATTGGGAAGGAGTATTAGGCATGATTGGGAAGCAAATCTGAATGCATGCTACTATACATTTTTCTTTCAGTTTAATAAACTATGGGTGCGTTCAGGGCTCTTTAGATCCACGCGAGGCACAGGTGCCTCATGGATTTAAATGTAATGTCTAGACATCAACATCTGGGAAACGTCTGTCTTCTGTGAACATCCCGTTTTGACGCACTTAGGAGCTATACTAAAAAGATACTACTTTAAATCTAGAGTTTTCGGTTCCGACAGGCCAATCGCGGACTTTCCCCCGTCTGATCATTCCAGCGCGCAATTAAAAATGGCGCTCGTTTGGGATGGTCTGACGTCAGACCATCCCGAACGGGAACCATTTAAAAAAAAAACCTTGATCCTGCGCATGCGCGAATAACCAAGGACGCAATATCATGCCTATGCACACGTGCAAACTTTTGATTTTTTTTTTAAAAAGCCACCGCATGCACGCCTCATTCAGTGGATGCCATCTAGACAATCCACAGTGGAAGCAGCGCACGGTAAGGCGATTCCCCCGGGGGATGTCTGGTCATGCAAGGATGGATTTAAAAGATCAGGATCAAATTTGAGCTGGCATAATGGTGGGATTAGCTGTCCGTCTGAACGCACCCTATGTATATACATACTGGCCATTTCTATTGGTCAAAGGTAACAATATGAAGGTGTATATATATTCATGTATGTATGCTGCCCTATGCTCCTACCTTGGAAAAAATCTTATCAATTCCCCCAATAATTCATATATCTATGATTTTGTTTCTTTTTAGTAAAAGCAGAACTGTAAGTAACTGTGCAAGGAAGTGTGTGTGTGTATTCCTCACGGTAGATAGCAAGGGCATGTGTTGATACCCATACCTACAGTATTCTAGGGCCTGTAATTAACTAGTTTCAATAGGTAGCACTACGGAACTGCACACATCATTGCCTTGGAGTCTTCCTGGGCTATATGATTATGCTACTGAATCTAGTTCTGATATCAGTGTAATAAATGAAGCTGTTATTATACATTCATATTAATTTGAATATAAAAAGCATTCAATAAATCAGAAATAAAGTACAGGATATTGTAGATAGGAAGAAATTTAGCAGGATTTTAGTTGCTTTTTGTTAGCTAACAGTTATGCCAATCATATATTAAAGGTTGTATTCCATGACTTTCTTCTGCTTCTTTATCCATTCAATGGAGAAAGCCTTTCTCCTTTGGAGAAGGCAGTTATTGAGTCCAGCTTCCTAGAAGGTAATTCTGTTTAGCAAAGATTCTTGGAGGCTGCAACTGCAATGTCCATTAAAGCTCTGTGGGCCTTTTTAAAATCTGTACCTGAATTGTAACCTTATACTGTTTCCTAATACAAATGAAGAAAATTAATCAGCCAGCTAGATTTACCCGGGTCTTGAACTGCTGAACTACTGACTTTCCACAGCCTGCAGTTCAGTGTCTTAACCACTTGAGCCACCGCAGCTCAATTAGCAGGACACCAAGGTAAATATAAGAGTATGTATGGATATGTGGCCATATGATGGGTTACTGCTGAGTGGATAGACAAATGCTGTACCATTTCTCCATCTCAGCTAGTTTGGTTCCTTTTTTCTTTCCTTGCTTCCTCGGCACCAATAAAACAAAATCTGTGCATACTTTATATAAATATCATTTGTAAATACTTTATATCAATAAGAAATGCAATTTGAAAAAACCAAGCTTTGGGGTGTGTGGGAAACATTGAAAATGATCTTCAGAAAGTAAGGGGATGTCACATTTCTGATCATAATCATCTAGAGGAAAAACACTACATCTTAACACAATATGTACAATAGGAAGGACCAAACAAGATTTTCCAGAAAGGTTTCAGAGGTGCGGAACTGCTTTTTATCTATTATATGCTGCTGTCATAATAAAATAGATACTGTAAAATATCACAGTGCATTTGCGTCTGTGTAGACACACACGAAGAAACAAACACACACTCAGGAGCTGGTCTGGTAGGTCTGTAAACAAGTAACTGAATAAACACAGCCATTCAGAGACAGAAGCGTTGCTGACAGCAGCAGGCAATTCCTATATATGAAGCAGAGCACACAGAAGGGTAGACAGAAGATTGACATCTACTGATAAATATAAGCTAGATGCTTTCTAGGACTCTCAGTTGTACAGCCATGCAAATGTAATCCCAGCAGAGCAAAGGAAGCCTTGCTTATGTCCTTCTTACACCTCACATGAAAGCTCAGACACAATATGCCCCACCACTAATAAATGCAATCTGTTCAGACAGAGACAGGATGGTGCAGTTAGTTGGGCAGGCAGGGCATCCTTCTTGTCACATAGCTGGAGACCACAGTCTGTGTACAAGGTCTTCCAGTTAATCAAAATTATTGTTTGATGCAGGAAAAGAGGAGATAGCAGCTGTTTGATGCAGGAAAAAAGGAGATAGCAGCAGTCAGAGTTAGTCACACTGGGAATTATTAACTACAAAACAGGTTCATCAGGTTGCTTCAGCATTTCTTGAGCATATAAATAGAGGGGCAAATTTTTAGAGAGGCGGAAAAAACAAAGAGACCAATCAAATGCTTACTTAAGGTTCATGGGAGCAGAAACTTTGATGAAGGTTACAGAAAGTAATGCAAAGTGAGCTTTGTGATATTAAGCCCAAGCTACATTGTCTGCAAAGGGTGCAGTCTGATGCATAGTTATGCACAGTTATGCACTAAGTGAAGGACTGGAACAAGAAATTAATAGTTTGAGCAATTTGCAAACTGGCTACATCTTATTACTTGATGAAAGTAGGAAGTTTCTGAAGAAAAGCAGAAATAGGAACAATAGTCTGCAATGCACACCCTCTGGAATCATGTTCTATAGCCTATTTAATTGCAGGGTAAATTTGTTTCCCTAGAAATGTTACAAGTCTTTCAATAAATCAGAAAATCTAAAGTACATTTCCAATCAGTACATTCAGATATCAGATTTCTTACAAACTGTGTTTTAGAGTGCTGTAAGAAAAGAGTTGCATTTGAGAACAATTTGGAGGCTTCTTAGGGCCTGGTACTGTACTAAACACTTGCCTTCTAGTCTACAAAGGGATTTCTTAAATAATGGCAATAGCTATGTGTTCCATAGACATAAATCCTTCTCCTGTGCTAAACAGTGTACCAGAGCATCCTGAAGTGGATGAACAAAGAAGAGGAAGGGTGAAAGAAAATATTAAAAATGAAATTATATATAAGTTCACCTGCTGTTGTCATGGTCAAAACATGGAGAGGAACGGCTGCAACAGAAGAGATAATTTAGCAGAACAAAAAAAGAAAGAAAGAAAGAATGGATAAATGAAATAAAAGAAAGAAAAAAGATGATTTTACCTTCTAATGGAATGATGTAAAGTGACTATGTTAACATAGATTGCAGAGAGTATATACAGGATCAAAGTTTTCATGAAACAGATGTCCCTCTAAGCATAACCTTGAAGTCTATGTTGAATGTGAGTACTTAGAAACCTGGGGCAGATCTAAATGCTCTTCCATTCTCATCTGGATGCCACCTAAAAAAGCACTTACCTATACTGAATGCTGCACCCAGCACATATGATACATCATCTCCATGCCAGCCTTATGTATTCCAGGTGACTGTTGCATGGCTGAGGCACAGAATAAGAGCTTCCTTGGCTTTTTGTGCAATGCCAAGCAAATTTAAGAGCTTTTTGGGTGGTCTCCATCAATGTTCCCTCTAGGTTGTGGAATCTTGTGAGCAAAAATTCTACTTTGTGAGCTACTGCCAGTAAAGTTGTGAGTGAGCAATTTGGCTACTGCATACATTAGTTTGCTCTGGAGCCATCCTTCCTGAGCTGAGACAAAAACCTATGAGCTGGAGGCTAAAAAACTGTGAGCTAGCTCACACTCAGCTTAGAGGGAACACTGGTCTCCATATAGTGGACCCATAGCATATAATTTGGTCATTGGATACCTGGATTTGCAGAAGAATTCTCTTGTGTCTTGCTTTTTAAGAGCTCCCCCCCCCCCAGAATGATAACTATTATACATTAGGTGGCATTAACACTGAACTGATAGGATATTCTAACCATTTCAGGTGTATATATGAAACTCAATTCCATGGAGAATTTAGTCACATTAAATACACTGAGGTTGAAAAGCATTGGAATTTAAAGAGCCAAACTGCATGAGACCTGGACCTGATTATTTCCCCTGTAACCATACAGCAGTTGCGAGGAAAGGTGTTTCAACAGTCTGCAAGGGCTCCAATTCAGCTTAAGGCCACAGTACTGGAGGGGGGGGGCCAACGGCACCATTTTCCTGAGCTGAAACAGAGCTAGGGGAAGTTTTATTTGCCTCACTTTGGAGCTGCCTATGAATGGAATACTGTGGAGACCCTGAACCCAACTCATTAAAAACATCTTGTGTCATTTGGGTCATAGATGGAACCAATATCTCTCCTGCACTCTTAGCTGTCTTTTTTTCATTAGCCATTTCTTTCTGAAAAAGTTGTTACCTGTCACCTTGAGTTTGTTTGCATGCCTGGTTCCATTTCCATTCCAGATTTGTGTGTTTGAAGCTCTTGCATCTTTTTATTGTTCAAGTTGCTCACATTGATCTTATTTGTTTTCTGATATTTCACCTGATGCTAACATTATTATAGTTTTCTCTTCTGTGCATACTTTATATACAACTTGTGATTTTCTCACACAATTTCCCTTAAATTCCTTCTTCTCATGTTATACTGCTGTCATGAGTGGGAATTCCCAAGCTGAGTATATATTGCTTCATATAAACATGGTAAAAATCAGCAGGTGGCTTTTCAAAAGATAAGACACATGTCATTTAAAATTGTTGTTGATAACTTTTAGCTGGTAGCTGCTAGGTCCTGTTTTCACTGCCATTTGGAGTGAGATGGGAAATACCACATTGGAGAAAAACAAGAAATGTTGTTTACCTTGTTAGCAATGATCCAATCTCCTTTTTTGAAGACAGGCAGCTAAGAATGATAACTCTAATTATTTGTCAATTTTAATACTGGTTCTTCACTACCTCTCCAATCTCCCTATTTCCCCATGCCAAAATTAGGCAAATATTAAAAATCCTAGGATTCTAAATAATAATATGTACTGAGCCAACTTTTCACTATTGAAACACTTCAAATTAAGTAATAACTGTTTGGTACCAGGTATTACAATATTCCAAAAGTAAAACCCTATTGTAAGCACTTTCTTTCATCATAAATAAAATGGAATGGGGAAAAAATTACACCCAGTCTAGCCCTTTGCTTAAACTACCACATGAGCAGACATCAACTCTGCACAATCCAGACTTTCAGTACGATCCAATGCTCCAGGAATGAGCTGTAATGCATACATGTAACTCACCTGCCTGGAATCCCTTTTGCAATCATTTAAATGGAACAAACTGTGTCTGCATTGAATTCCTTTGCAAAGGAAGAAATTACCCTCACATTCACTCGATCAGGACAAATTGTATGTAGTATCTTTGAATATATCAAATACTTATTTTTATTGGGTAAAATTAACTGAATTCTACTTATTTTTGTTCTAGTATGGTGGTGTGATCTTTAAAAAAAATCTGGCTAATGTCAGACATGGTGTCTAATAACAAACACACAGCTGTCGACTGATAAACTTTCCACATGCTAGAATACGTCACTACTGATGTAAAGACCATCTGTTATTTCAGTCTCTTTCCTCCCTCAAACTGCCACCGCCACTCAATTCAAATCAGATACATATCCAAATCCTTTATAGCCTCAAGCCTGTTAGAAATTAAATTTAAGGCTTTTAAACTGTAATCTAGGGCAGAAAATTAAAAAAAGACTCTGCTATTTGGCATTGTATTACATTCCAATATGAAAACATGCTAATGTGAATACATTGTCTGCAACAATCATATTAATAAATCACACCCTCCAAGAACTGCTAATAAAGTTATTAACCTATAACTGGTCATGAAAAAATTCTGCCAGTGATCCAGGATCACATTTTATATGACATACATAAACAATGGTTTACTTTATATATTTTTTCTGCGCACAGGCCCAATTATGAGCTCAGTGGGTGCTCTGCTGCACATTCTGAAGTCCTATGAGAATGGGTTTCCTTATTCACATCAGTGGAAAACAACCTTCACCAGTGAAATGGCACAGGCTATGAACTCGCCCTCCAAACTGCTTTGTGCGCTCGGCAGAGAGAAAGTCTTTTCTAAGCCCTGCACAGTCTTAGTTGTTCACTATGTTCAATCCTTTACACATAAATCACTGAAAACTTTCTCAAAGCTGCTAACCATCCGAAACATTACTTCTATCAAATAGTACCAGGACAAAGACAGTAAATCTGGAATCCGTTAGCTGACACAAAAGCTCCACTTTCTGAAGCTACTGACCTTTCTTTTAAAAGCTTGCAGCTTTCCAGTAAACATACAGACTGTGAGACCAGTTTGCAACTATATTCATGTATCTTTGATGTAGTTTAAGGCATGTTTGCATTAGTAATTTTAGGCAGTTTCAAACATATTTAACTACTGTGGCTCATACCAAAGAAACTCTGGGCAATGTGCTTTTGTGAATATACTGGAGATCTCCAACAAAGAATGTTCCTCCAATAAGAAAGCACAATTCCCAGAGTACTGTGGGAAATCTGTTTGAAACTGGTTTAAACTTGATGTGTTGGTAAACCCTTTAATCAGAATGGTTAGAACCCTTGCATTTAGGCAGTAACTGGGCAATACCTGCACCCAAACTCAGCATTAGTTCAGACTTTTGAGATTTAGTAATTATCTACTGCTGTCTTCTGCTCTGGATTACTTACCCAGAATGAATAGGACTAGCAGAAATAGTAACATTGTCCAGATTGTCAGGACTCCAGCTTAAGCGATATGAAGTTCTCTCACCTTCTTTAGCCAATGTGGACACCTGGAAATGCAAAACAACGTAAGATAGTTTTTATTTACAACATCCAACCAAACCAAGCAAAAAGTGTCAAATTTCAATTCCAGGGAAAGGCTTGGTTCACTAATAGGTATGAGAAGCTTTGAAATATGAGTACTAGGGGGGAAAACCCATATTAATCTTTTTGTATATATTTTAACCTTTTAAATTACATATTTTGTATATATTTACCCTTCTCTTTACTGATTCTATTATATCATCTTTTACTTTGATACATTTTGAATATTACATGAGCTTAGATCTGGTGTGATCACAACACAACTTGTTTCAGACCCCCCCCCCCATTTCATCCTCCTGATGCAGCCTGTTGTGGCCCCAAAATCAGGCATTCAGTTATCATTAGATCCTACACACACCCCGCCCCAGGGAATACCAAGGGCAGTAAACTGAGAAGTGGGAGGGAAGTGTTGCAGAACTGTTATATTCCATCAGAAAACCTGGTTAGGATCCATCTCTTTGTGATATAATGTGACATATGTACAAATTTGCTGATGTCATATTATTTGGTGGGATCCAACAAGCTTTTCCTTTGATGAAAAAGGGAGGGACCACCTTTGTCCACCACAAAAGATTTGCTGGGAATCATGAGATCTATGTGGACAAAAGCCATATGGGACAAGGGAGGTACTATGAAAAGGACTGGGCAAGAATTAGCAAAAAAAAAAAAAAAAAAGCTGGCTGGACCCAGCTGACTAACTATTTAGATAAAATTCAGAAAAAAAATAATGTGTATCAACACTATTACATAGTATGGTATAACTTTTGCTACATAGGCAAAAACCTCTTTAAATACATAGCAAATATATTATTTTACAGGATATTTTGTATCAGCATACTGCAATTTTGTTTTATAGCAATGTCCTTTCAAATATAGTCTCAATCCAACAAAATGATCATAGACATGGAAAGAAGCATACAAAATACAATGTAAAGGCAGAGAATGTGGACGCTGGTTAATCAATAAACTAGAATTCTGTTAATTTAATCTCTGTTTATACAACTATTGTGTTGAAACCACGCTTTTAATGTTTTGAAAGATATAGGACATTGATTCAAATAGACAGAAGTATGAAGCTGGTCAAGCCCCAAATAAAATAAATACCTGTGGGATATATAGGACTGAGAGAGTTGCTTGCAGTGCAATCCTATGCGGAATTACTCCAATCAATAGGCTTAGATTGCAGTATAGGATTGCACTTTAGGTATAGTCCAGACAGTAAAAATGCAAAATGACAAATTAAGGACTGCAAAGGTTAAATTACCAGTACAATAGGTCTGTGAAAAGACCATGAAAATCTCACCTGGTGGCTGGGGATGACGACTGTGTCATCAATCATGGTACTATCCCTCATGTAGGAGGTGTGGCTCAGCGTATGGGACCTGTCTGAACTGAAGGATCGCAGGCTGGTAGGTTGGCAATGTTATCAGCATTTATCAGATGGTGTTGTGAAGATGGTATTGTGAGCACAGCAAAGGAATGAAAAAAGCACTCTATTAGCAAATACAGTGTAACTTCCAGGGGGGTGATCTTAAAGTTCCAGTAAAAACCTTACACTATTTTATGCCAGCACTCTAACTAGGTCCTCAGCCATACCTCTCATTCTCTTTTTCACTGATTCTAATGGAATCTAACAGAATCACAAATTGTTTACTCTTCAGACTAAAAATACTTTTACAAATTATAATACCCCTATATTTAAAAGTAATAACAACATAGGAATTCCTGCTTTACCTTACTGAAAAAATATATTGGTTATTATTTATAATTTAAATGAATTATCCAGGAAAAGCAACAACAACCAAAATGAGTTTGGTGAATTCCAAAGGTAAGATATATTTTGTCCCCTGGAAGATACACATAAAATAATCTATGGTCAGCCATGTGTGCTTTCTGTGTAACGCAACTGTCCTCCTTTTTACACAAAACAGCATTGACAAATAAGCAGCAAATACAAGAGCACTGTCACTTTCATATGTACACACACCACTATAGAAAACCATTTACAGTAGCAATGTGAGGTGCAAATTAAAAATAAGCCACCAACAACACGAAATCTAATTGGCTGACGTGTTGCCATCTCAAAAACACCAAACATACAAAGCCATCTGCAGTTCCTGCTACAAAGTAAGGTATTTCAAATATTTCTTCTAAAGCTGAAGTATATGACCAGACTAGAGTTTATATGAGTGAAGGCTTGTCAGCAATATTCCTAGAAACATACGAATGTTGGGAAAATGCCAAGCATATAATTGGTAGCTGAGCAGCATAATTTATGTAGCCAGTATAATTTATGAACTTAGCATTAATTGTCAACTGACACATCACAGGAATAGATAGATATTTTATGCAAAACGCATTGCGTACTAAAATTTTAAAGAATAAAAATAATGGAAGGCCCCAAAGAATACAATAAAATATGTGTGCCAAATTGGTCATATAATAAGAAATGTTCATCACTGTATCACTCAGCAAGTTTTTCCTGCAATCTGTTGAATCCTACAGTACTGTGAACAGAATGAGTTCATGTGAGTGATTTCTACTGCTGCCACCTTCCCAATGCGTCCCCCAGAAAAACTGCTCCTCTGGATCCAAGGAACTGCATGGGATGTAATGCAGATGCCTGCAACCAGATGGGGAATTGTCCCCTCCCCTCTTGCATGAGGGAGACCCTCATGAGCAGTTTTGGAGAGGGGCACAAGGGGCTGTAGTGGGAAGGAGAAAGTAGCAAAACTCTCTTCTGTGACCTCGTTCTATATAGGGTACAGATCTAACTCACTGCAAGTGAATTACAGTGTATAAACTGCCATTAGCATTTATTATTACATGACTTATGATTGCAGTTTTGCATGGAGTGACCAGGAATACAGAACTCCTGTGGATTTTGATGTGATTATAGCACATATTTCTGAATGTTGGATTTTGTCACTGTCACCACCCTCTTCAAGCCAGGGGATTTATATAAATGTAGCTATAAGATGGACTGAATGTAGCTCATTCCAGCTTCCTACATTCATTTGAATGGGCTTCAGTCACAACTAATTTTAGATAAATTTGGGTCTATGTGGGTTGAAACCTGCCATGGCAGATTAAGCAAAAATATGTCTACCTTTATGAAAGGATAAAGTAGCAGAACATTGGTGGGTTTTTCTATACAGAAATGGGCAATAATAATTTTAAATTATGCGGCTCACTTGGCACTGCAAAATATAGACAAACATACAAGGCTGTTGATCACTTTCAGTGTATTAACAGTGTTCTGTTAATTATACAACAGTCACATTGAGCAAGTCTTTGTAAATCAGGTTTTTACACTTAAAAATAAATCTTCAGTAGCAGACGGCATTCTTTATAAATCCTTGCAGCGTCAAGAGCAATGCCATGCGAGACTGGCATAGGATGTGACATCCAAAGTGGAGGCCCTGTTGCTCACCTAATGGTATGTCTTAATAGGTAACAATTAGTCATTTAATCAAAAGAGATTCTAGTTTGAAATCACTGCAAGATATCATTCGCTTTCCTCTCCAGCAACTATAAGGCATGGTCTTATAATACAGTTTGCGCTGATTTGATTCATAGAGCACATACATGTCCTATAACTGCAAAATATGGTCTTTAAGCTATTGATGGTGACACAGGAGTCCCTAGGAGTCGAACAATTCCATTAAAGTTTCAGGCCCATCTAAAACATTTTTTTCCAAGCTACCACTATAAGAAATTGAGAGCAAACCTAAGCAGGTCTACTCAGAAGTAAATCCCACTAGTCATTGCTCCCAGGAAAGTGTTCTTAGGATTGCACTGTTAATGTACTAATAGCATACTGCAGAGGAAAAGCATGCTGTTGAGTCACAATGGACTCATGGTGACCCCATGAAGTTCCCCTTCATGGGGTTTTTAAGGCAAGAGATGAGCCATTGCTTTCTTCTGCATAGCAGCCTCGGTCTTTCTTGGTGGTCTCCTACCCAGCTACTAATGGTGAGTGATCCTGCTTAGCTTTCAAGCTATGATGAGATCAGGCTAGTCTGGGCTATCAGGGCTTCTCAGAGGTTTCTTAGGTAAAGTCAGTCTAATGAAAAATCAATGCTGCTGCACCAGTGATAACAAGCAACATGCCATTTTTTTAAAAAAAAAATGCACTAACAGTTTGCTGGACAGTGGAAATTTTTTAAAAAAACAATGCACTAACAGTTTGCTGGACAGTGGAGAAACGGATGGCTGCTGGTGCCCAGATGCCTTGGAGAGCAAGACAGAACAGGGCCTGGAGGTCAGTGGAGTTGTTCCACTACATGAATGTCGCCACTCCTTGACTTTTTCTTTTCTGCCACCTTTGCACTGTTCATCCTGTTTATGGCTTAGAATGGGCACTTTGCTGAACCCAGCAGCAGTGGACAACCCATTCCCTGTGCTAACATGATTCTTGGCTTCTAGTGCTGATGAGACCTGTCTTTCACAACAAAAGGAAATAAATGCTTTCCTTTGTCCTTCTTAAGAATTTCCCTAAACAAGTAACTCAGGCAAGACAAACTACAACAGTTTCTTTCTGCATACAGAAGCAGTTATGCAGTAAATGAAAATGGGGTACAAGAAATCCACTCGTGGACTATTTTTAAAGCCTGTTTTTAACTGGTAGATCTACATATGCTATATCCGAGAGGTAAATTCTTGGTTCAGATTATCATCACTCTTAATCATCATAGTAATATACTTGTTCCTGCAAACTGACCAATAACCCCCCCCTCAATATTTCAGCAGGCCTGCAATATGGATGTCGCTACATAATGACAGATGCTGTGAGGGAACACTTCATCTTTTCATGCTATGTAATACCTACCCGGGCATAGTGCTAAGGAAAGCATACAAAGAATGGAAGGAAAAGAGAAATGATACAGACAGAAACATGATTTCAGAAAAAAACCAGACATTCTAACGCCAAAGCAAAACAGTTCAATAAATATGGTTTGTTAATAGACATTTCTGAATTGCTCTGCACTGGCTGCTTTTGTTGCAGTAAAGAAACATTTCTGTCAACTCTGGGTTGGAAAATTCCAGGAGATTTGGGAGGTGGAGCTTGGAAAGGGCAGGGCTTGTGGTAGGGAAGGGAATCTCAGCAGGATATAGTGCCATAGAGTCCACCTTCCAAAATAGCCACTTTTCCCAGGGGAACTGATCTCTGTAGTCTGCAGATCAGTAATAATTCTGGAAAATCCCCAGCTGGATGTTGACAATCCTAGTTAGAAGGTTGGTGCTTTACTGTTAAAAAAGCAAGAAAACTTTTCTTAAAAATAAAAAAAAGTTGATTGACATCAGTCATAAGTGTCTTAGCAGGGAGGTCTGAGACAGAGAGGGAAGACGACTGATCAACACTGTATAGAAGCTTTTCTGGTAGAGCTCCCCTTGTCAATCTACCTGCTTAATGTGTACAGGAAGCCAGTGCATACAACAATTTGGATGTATGACATTTGGATGCCATCAGTATTCAGAATGTACAGTGCAAAACTTTTTATTTTCATATAAAAAGTCCAGGAGTCCCTGGGCTCATAAAGTTCCTCAATGAAGAGAACTGAGTAGGATTCTGTGTAGACCTCCTTAGGATGGCTCTCTTGGGGAACCAAATGCCCTATATCCCTCTCATTTACCCTCAGTCAAAGAACTGCCAGCAGGCAATCATTACTTCAATCTTTTTCATTTTCTCTATGAGAAAAGAGACGTCCAGGGCAGCATTCTTAGGATGAACATTTTCCTGGAATGATTCTATATCCAGAATCCTATGTTTCAATGTCAGTAAGAAGTACCTTTCACTAGGCTGCAGTCCTGTTATCTAACGTGAACCCAGCTGCAAGCATCTCCACTAATTCCTTATCTTAGAAAAGAAGTTTGTTTGGAATGTAAAAGGTAAAGGTAAAGGTTCCCTTGCTCGAAAGCCAGTCGAATCTGACTCTAGGGTTGCGGTGCTCATCTCCGTTTCAAAGCCGAAGAGCCAGCGCGGCAGAAGACGTTTCCGTGGTCATGTGGCCGGCATGACTAAACACCAAGGTGCACGGAACGTTGTTACCTTCCCACGGAAGTGGTACCTATTTATCTACTTGCAATTTCTTGCTTTCGAACTGTTAGGTTGGCAGGAGCTGGAACTAGAGACGGGAGCTCACTCCGTCATGCGGCAACCTGGGTCTCGAACTGCTGAACTACCGACCTTCCACAGCCTGCAGTTCAGCGTCTTAACCACTTGTGCCATCGCAGCTTTGCAATGTACTGCTTTGCAAATGATTGGTCCTAACAACTCCTGCCCCTAACATCCCAATAATATACTGAGTTTTACTCTTTGCTCTATTAGTGGCAATTAGCCACAGAACATTCAACAAAATGGAGCCTAGCCCAGTAACAGCTGGAAGGCAAGAAGGCTTAGCAAATAATGAATGGTGAATAATATCACTGCATGCTGGTCTTTGGGCACTAGACAAATGTATATTATAGATGTATCCCAATCCATTCATCCAGCTATGAGTACAAGTTGAAGATTATTTTCAGCTGGAAGCCATATTTTTGTTAAGATACTAAATAAAGTATTTTTGGTGGTATTCCTCAGGCAATGTTTTTCATCTAAGCACAGCTCCCTCCTCAGAAACAGTAATTGCAGGATTAATTAATAATCTGACACAAAGTGAGAAAACGGCAACTGGTTGCCACCTATTTTGTGTGTATGTTACATATCCAAACAAGAGCACAAGCCCATAGTACAAGAAATGTGTCCCTATGAAAATTCATGCAAGGTCTTTCCTGTGGCATCCCATCTGGAGTCTGGATGGGTGGCCAGAGCCTGGAAAATGAAATGACTTCTAATCTTTGAAGTGTTGGCACTAGAAAGGACCTTGGTGGTTACCAAGTCCAGCCCTCTGTCTAAAACAGGTCTCCCATCCACGCATGAAACTGATCTATACTGGCTTAGCTTCAACAAGTTTGTTGTTGTCACATATCTCAGTTGTGGCCTCCCATGCTCTCTCAGCTTCTGTGACAGTGCAGATAAATTCTATAACCTCACACATCTGAACAAGCAGGGATATAATTTGGGTGGGTGCCTGAAGAAGGTTAATGACCACTTTCATATCAACTCAAATTAACTGAATGTGATCTTTTTATGGACTGAAAGCCTGGGTGCTCAAGGAATCCTACCCCATATCTACATAGATTTCACTGACTGACAAAGCATGACCTAAATGCCCATGACCTGGGAAATGTCCTAACTTTAAATCAACACAGTGGGTGACTGTTCAGAAAAACAATACAAATCTACCAGGGTAGCGTATACATTCTTGGTAAAGAAGTACCTGTCAGATCGACCTCCTTCCAGGCTGTACCTCAGATAGTTCATACCATCTAAGAATTGGCTGCTGGGCAAAGAGTCATCACCTAGTTCTTTCAGGTCTTCTGGCCTAAGGTATTCTCCCCCATCTCCTGTCATAGTGTCATCACCTGGAACCAAAACACACACACACACATGCAGGAGATACATTAACTTAAGTAGGCCTACAGCATTTGAAAAAATAAAGAGCATATAGTGGATACCTCATACCTCCACTAAAAAACTTCCAGAAAATTACTGGTCTCTTCTGAAAGACACCAAGCACATGCTGCCAACACACACAGACAAATCACACTAAGTACAGATCACATTTGCACAAGCTAAAAATATTCACACTGAATTAGTCCATTGTTGTATGCCATTCTGTGTATTATCGGTAGGACCAGGGCTCTAGTCGGGGGGGAGCTCTCAGGTACGGAGCTCCGGAAGAGAACCTCTAGGGGGCGGGGCGGTCACGTGGTGAAGCCCCGCCCCCTTCTTTACCCCGCCCTCTGCTTCGATCCTCATTCCGTTTGGGAATGAGGATGAAGCAGGAGGGTAAGTAGCCGGGCCTTCTGACACACTTCCGGTGATGTCAGGGGGTGTGGCCTTCTGTCACTTCCGGGATGTCAGGGGGCGTGGCATATGCAAATAAGTTATGCTAATGAGTTATGCTAATGAGCTCCGGCAGCTCTTTTTCTACAACAAGACCCCTGGGTAGGACTAGTTTCAATTTTGTTTGGTTCCTTTTCCCACTTAGTGTCTTGGACATAATTGGTCTCTGACAGAAATCCTGAGACGTTATTTATATGAGAGATTTAAAAGTACCTTTGAGCTTTTGTGGTACTCTCTGCACAACTTTGTCATAAAATATGCTTGCATTTCCCAACATTATGAATTTGAGACTGTGACTGATAGAGATTAACTCACTTTCCCTTTCTAGTACACTACAAATGAAGTCTCGTGCCTAGTAGCATTAATGAAAAAATGAAACTATGAATACAATTTGCACAGATAAAACCAAAGGCATGTTTCTGGTGCTACAAGAGTGAGCCTTGTAACAATCCCTGCCCAGTCCCTCCTGGGATTTTTTCTCTCTCCCCCAGCCCCTTCAACTAGCCAGTAAGCAAATGAGGGAGATGCTAGGAGGGATTTGATTTGTCCAAGGGAAATTCAGCTTTCCCTGTGGGAATCCCTCTTTGCTCCACAACTGTCTTGAGAACTGAGGGGGGGATTCTTCTCTGATAGCCTCCACCACCTCCTGAGTCACTGACTTCTCACCTCTTTGATACCAGGAGGAACATCAAACAAGGCTATCTGGTAATATGAGCATGGCAAGATTCGTGGGTAGGAATCAAGGCAGGCTTTTTATTCCTTAAACAACACAAAGGTCTTATTCCACAGTCCACACCTTTTAAAGGTATACAGGCTACAGAATTAAGTGCAGGTTCTAAGAAAAAAAATCACAACAGTGAAAGATGTCCTTCTTGGAAACTACAGTTGTCTCAAAGTTGCTGCCTCCCCACCACCATTGTGGGCTTCAGCAAATGGGCAAATGTATAGAGGAAGTCTCTGGCTGCCTCTCGCTCACAGAGAAAGACCGAACAGCTCCTCTTCAGTTTCCCCTTCCCAGGGGCGTTGGAGGTGCTGGGCCAATCTGGGCTCTTGGAATCTGGTTCCTGGGGCCTGCCAGAGCATAGTGGCCAACTGGCAGTTTCTACTCACATCAGAGGAGGTCATTATTTTCACGCCAGTATATGGAAACGTACTGATGCAGGACCAATGAGATCTTCTCAGTCTAGCCGTCTCTATGTAACCAGTTTATCTCCATAAACATCTGCCCTTGCCCAAGCCTGAGGGATCCTTGGGCTCATTAGCTCCCTTTCCCTTCAAGTGATATGATTTCAGACTTCCACATTATGTTAGTTCAAAATGACAAATTATAGTTTGTGCCCACAAACCAGAACTCTGTATAAAACTAGTTGGGATTCTTAGTTTGCAAGGAAGGATGCAAACCACTGCTTGTAGTTCAGGAATAATGACAAAAGTTAGTTGGCCACAAAACCAGAAGCCCTTAATTATCTGGCTATCCTTAATTATTTGTATGTGCGAAGTTCCTTCAAGTCACAGCCAACTTATGGCAACCCCATAGGATTTTCAAGGCAAGAGACAATCAGAGATGGTTTGCCACTGAAGAAGAAGAAGAGTAGGTTTTTATACCCCACTTTTCTCTACCTTAAGGGGTCTCAAAGCGGTTTACAATTACATCTCCTTCCTCTCCCCATAACAGGCACCTAGTGAAGTAGGTAGGACTGAGAGAGTTTTGAGAGAACTGTGACTGGTCCAAGATCACCCATCAGGTTTCATGTGGCTTCACTTCCTGTCTCTGCATAGTGACCGTGGACTTCCTTGGTGGTCTCCCATCCAAATATTAACCAGGGCTGACCCTGATTAACGTCTAAGATCTGACAAGACTGGGCCGGCCTGGGCCATCCGGGTCAGGGTTCAATTATCTGTATATCCTGTCGGTATAACTACCTATATAATTATCATCTTATTATTGATATGCTGTTATAATTTATATGATATACTTTATATTTTATAACACGGGTACTCTACTTCATGCACCTAAGGAAGGAGGCTGCAGCCCACAAATGATTGCATTTTTAAAAAATAAAATCTCTAAGATGTTACCAGACACACTTTATATATTTTCCTGGAGAGTTTCTCACTAGATTGCAGATGAACTTATCCAGCATGCTCAAACACTTTTATAATTGTTTAGCAAAAAAAAAAAAATCTAGAAATTCAGCAACCACAATCATATTATAAATGTCTATTTTTGTCTAGAAAGCCTGCAAGCTGAAAAGTCCTTTCAGGGTACTTTTTATTGAGAGGTGTTAAATGGATATTCACTTGTGCTTCTATGACAGTCACAATGAGGGAAGAAACAGGTTGTTGGGGTTTTTTTTGGGGGGGGACATTTACAAGCAGAGTCATCATTTGCTTTCAGCTGAGAACTGGTGCAGGCCACTGGACAGAGTGTTGGACGATGATGTGGGACAACAGGTTATGAATCTCCGCTCTGCCACGGAAGCTTGCTGGGTGATCCATTACACTCCCTCAGCCTAACCTTCCTCACAGGGTTGCTCACCGGGTTGTTGTTGCAAGGATGAAGAGGAAAGGGGGAGAACAATGTGATAAGCCATTCTGGATCCCTATTAGGGAGAAAGACCGGATATATATATATATTTTTTAAAAAATCCAATTTCGATGATGCTAACCTTTTAAGCATTTCACGTTAATGAATAGTGTTGGAATTATGGGTTTCTACAAAAATTAATGTGAGAGTTAACTTATGGCATTGACTCTCAACTTTCAACCACACTGTAAATACAAATTCATTCATATTCATTTATGCAGTATGATTCTGTGTGTATGATTAACTATGTATCAATATCACTTGACAAGGCCTGCTGACTTAACGTCCTTGCAAGGAGCGCCCCCCACTCCCGGCCAATTTCGATTTGGCAACCCTAGCTTATGTGCCAGGAATTCTTCTTCCTGGAGAGAAAGAAGACACCCTATGCACACGTACACACCATTGAACTGTGATATTTATTTCTGACTAAGCATGTGAAGATTTGTACTCAGAATTCCCACAAGGGAGGTCTCTGCCCTGAAACTGCTGACACGGATGAGTTTTTTTGGAATAGGGGTATCTTGTCCTCCAGTCCTACTTAGTGACAACCAACCAGGAGAAACTTTGCAACCATAGCTACCACTCTTCCATTAGACCATGCTGTGTTGCTTCTTTGACTGGCCATGTGTTCTGGTTTATGTTCCAAATAATTGGCAGTTAAGTGATTGCAGAAGAACATGACATTGTGTCAGCCACACACAGCTCTGAGCAGCATATATGGAACGCTAAGGAATTGAACCACTAAAATGGAAAGATTGAACATCTGCCCCTGTTACATGCTGAGAGAGGAGGCTGCCAAGATCACTAGCATAAAGAAACTGTTGCCTAGCAATTCTTTGAAGAGGGAAAATTACAAGAATAATATCTCCTCTGGGAGAAAAAAACCCAAACCTGCACAATGCATTGTATGGTGACTACTGGGGGTGTGCATTCAGCTAAATTCAAGATGGGAAAAAAATCCCCAAAATACCTTATCAGTATTTTCTGGATATTCTTTCAGCCAGATATAGCTTTGGCTATTTTTTGGCCATCTGAAATGGCCAAGCTCTGAAAAAGCTGAAAACTCATAATTTCTTGGGGCCACTGGATAGTCAAAGTTAAAAGGCGTTTAAGGGGCTTCAGTACAGCAGATGGAGCAACATGGAGCAATAGGACCTACATAGTCATAATATTGTAACAAAAATTTTTTTTAATGAAATTTCTTCCCCAAGAATAACTTTTAAGGGTGTAGAACATGTTGACTGCTTAATGAATTATTAGATTTTATTATATGATTTGCTTCTTCCTGACATGAATCTGAAAAGGTTACAAATCTGAAACATTCTCCTTAGCACAGTGTGATTATCATACCAAAATTTATTATTTCCTTTATTTATATCCCACCTTTCTCCCCAAAGGGGACCCAAAACAGCTTACATTGTTTTATCCTCACAACAACTTTGTGAGGTAGGTTAGGATTAGAGAGTGTGACTGGCCCTAGACCACCCAGCAAGCTTCCATGGCATGAGTGGGGATTTGAATTCTGACAAAAAAGAATCATCACTGTTTACCATTTTTGTTCTTTAAGACTATATATCATCAATGCTGATCTTTAAAAAATGCCCATTCTTAGCCTTGCATAATCTCCATTTAGATGGGTAATAACTGGAAAGCAATGCCCAGCAAACAACTATGGATTAATTTCATAAGGTCCTATCACTTTATTTTATAGAACAGTTGGTTCACATAAAAAACTTGCATTGTTTTATGTGCAGTCAAATATCGACCAAATGTTTTGGCTTTGCTTGTAGAAGCATAAATAGAATAATCAGATACACCAAGTGACAGAAATATGTAGGTACCGGTATACAGTGCAATGTTATCACCGTCCATTAAGAAAGACGGAAGACACTGAGCAAGCATTTAAGACATGGTGGTGGTGGAAAGTGCTGCCCAAGTCATAATCAAGTTATGGCGACACCACAGGGTTTTCAAGGTAAGAGGCAAACAAAGGTGGATTGCCATTGCCTGCCTCTGTGTAGCAACCCTGGACTTCCTTGGTAGTCTCTCATCCAAGTAGTAATCAGAGCTGACCCTACTTAGTTTCTGAGATCTAATGAGATTGGACTAGCCTGGGCCACCCAGGGCACTTAAAACATAGCGCAGTTCATATTCACAGCGGCTCCCTTCTGCATGAGGAACCTTGCTCTAGTAGAAGGAGCCTTGTTCTGCTAAAGAAAAGCTTCTTATCAAAAATGAGACTTTTCACATAGCAGAAGATATTCTTGGATCCAGCTCAAGTTATATACTGCAGAATGTAATTAGTATTGGAACTAAGAGTAGGAGCTGTGAGCTGGAAAGATCCTGATTCAAATGTGACCTCAGGCACAAACTTCCCAGGCCACTGTTAGGCAAGCCACTGTTATCGGAGCTTCAAACCTTTTCCCCGCACCCTCATAGGAATAATTACTGCTCAGCCTTATATGACTGCTATAAGAGTTACTGAGATAACAAATATAGATTCAGGTGGGTAGCTGTGTTGGTCTTAAGCAGCAGAACAAAGTTTGAAACCAGTGGCACCTTTAAGACCAACAAAGTTTTATTCAAGGTTTTGTGTGCACACATACTTCAGATACAATTCAGATAACGAATATGAACCATTTTTAACACTTGAAATACATTATGAAATATTATGGTTTTGGAGACTGATGGCATGAAAATGGAGTACTCCCTAATACCTGGAGATTATGCACATTCACAGACTTTGGCCTAAAGTAATTAATAGCATTAGTAATGCTAATAACCTTCTTTTACTTCTGTTAGGATTGTGGGGTGCAGGGGAACTGAAAACGTGCACAGGCACATTCACAGATCAGTGTTATACATTCCAGAACCATTTACAGATTGTTTCAGAAAAACAAGAAGGAAGAAAGTTTTGTGCCTCACTCCAAGAACTGTGTCCATCAGTACCTTCATCACTAAAGGCCTCCTCATCAGTGAAATGGTCATAGTCAGAATGTTTAAAAGCTGCATAACACATAAGTCAAGTTCAGAAATGGGGCTACAAAAAACCAGTTAACCCCACAGAGTATAGAAGGAAGGCATGCCATTTGTATTGCAGCCAAGAATGGCCAAATATGACTTAACAGGAACACAGAAAGGTTTAGGCTGAAAGAAATATACTCAACCAACTTTAACACAAGCCCTTTTCACATGCTACAGTGAACGTACTCACATCTTACATGTACATAAGTAATGTGTTTGTTAGAAAGAGCCAGTATGTGTTCCTTTAACAAATGAAACCGGGGACTATGTGATGCATGTGAGGTTTAAATCACAAGTTAACCTGCACTGTGCAAACCTGCACAGGTTTGGAATGAATAACAACAATTACTTCAACTCATGTATAAAGAAAAATAAAGTACAAAGATTGTAACTTATAAACAGGGCTACATCCCTAGCTTTATGTACATTCATAGGCATTATTTTTTTAACGCACAGTTTTCTAAATTAGAAAAGATTGTTGTTTGTAATGGTGGTTTTTAATGGTCTAGTTTTAATTATTTTAGTTGTAAGCCTCATAAGCAGGTATCTGGAGAGGTGCCATATATATTTTCTAATGAATACTTACATAAACAAACAAGTGATGTTTTAAGTAAAAACGCAGGGCTTGAAAGCCCTAAATTATCATATTTAGAGGATCATTTACTCTCGTATAAATCTGCCCACACATCAAGCTCTTCTGTGTGCCCTCACCATTAGACGTGAAGGTACTGGCCAAATAGGGTTGGGCCTTTCCCAGTGGTGCAAGGCTATGGATCCTGTGTTGGGATCAGCCTCTCCCTAAGAGCAGCCAATGTGAACTGATAGTATGTTAAGAGAGGGGAACTTGAAAAACAACAGTTGAAAACAACATTTAGTAGCAGAGAAATTAACAGTTTAGACATTGAGGTGAAAAGGGTTTTTCTGACTAAGGTCCTTTCTGATTTGCCTGCTACTCTATATTTTCTCAGTGTTTGAGTTGATGTGATTTAAGTCTATGGCAAAACAGCATCCAAAAAACCCGGGGCAACAGTGGGCTGAAACCGGGTGGACCACTGAAGGGAGGTAATATGATGCAAAGGGGGGGGGGGCTGGAATTTATAAAGAATTGAATTGATTTTAGTGCAGAATGAGAGCGAGAAAATGGAATAAAACAACAAAAATGGAATAATTCAATTTTAGGGCAGAATTGCTTGGAAGACACTGTGGTGAACATGGATTGAAAGGAGAGTGTGGAAAGGGCCTGAGTGGAACTGTGTAGAAGAGCTGCTTGGAGTAGGATGAAAATAGTAAATTGTAAGTAAAGGATGCCAGTTGTCAGACTAGGACCTCAGTTCAAAAGTTCAATGGAAGTGAAATGCTGTTTCTTGTACTTGACTTTCCTAGTGTTTTGTTCATATAAATAAAAGCTTTCATGTTTGATTAACCCTGTGGGCTGCATGTCTAAGGGAAGGAAGCACATACATAGGGACATACAATTTAATATCTTGGTCTACATACATATATTATAGGATATGAATGAATGGTGGCAACAAGTGATTGGAACTGTGTCTGAGCCCCAACCCCAATAGGTCTGTGTGAGTGAAAGCTGAGTAAAATAAAGGGGGCTGTGGATGTCTCTGGGAGTGAGAGATTAACTTAGGTGTGAGGTGGTCATGAGTCTTTAGATTTTAAAAGAAACAAGAAGGGTAGCAAGTGTGATGTCCTGAACTACATAGAACCCATAACCCAAATAACAGAGGTTGTAGAGGGTGTTAGGCACTCTATATAAGTGGAAAAGGGGCATCACACCCTGCGTCCAAGGAAAACTCACATTACCTCATCCTGATGTGGCCTTTAGGGCATCTTCAGGAGCTTCTGCCTAGAATTACAGGCTGTTTGTGACCATACTGCTATCTCTTTTACCTGATTGGTTGCTTTTGAAGATTTTTCCGTAAGGTCTATTTTTTGTGGGGTTTATGTGTATTAGAAAGTTCAGTTCTCAAGAACTTTAATTTAACTTGTTGTGGAGATCATGGGACCTGCACAGACAAAAGCCATGTGGGATAGTGGCTGTAAGAAGGAGGGGGATTGGATGAGATTGAGTGGGAATGATGGCTGGATCAGACCCTGTATGGATGCTTGTATACTATTGCCATCTGGAAGTGGAATGGAGCTGAAGTTCACCCACCCCTTATCCCCCTTCTGCTACAGCCCAATAACCTCCTGACATTTTGTTCTGGAATGAGGTGATCTCTGGATTCTCATAAACAGCACAGGGAACAAAATGGGTGTTCGCAGTGCAAAGGGGGAATGGCAAAAATCAACCGCTGCTCTTTCGACACAGGCACCGTTCCATTGTCAGAAACAGGGGGGCGGGACACATAAACTAACATCCATGTAAATGGTATCCATTTAAGTAGGAATATGGTATAAATTACATATCGAAACGGTGTCATATACATACACAGCACAAATATCCCTACAAAACCAACTGTGGAAAGCAAAGAACTGAAACCACTGGCAAAAAATAAGGGGGCATTTCGTAGAAAAAGAGCTAGGGGAACTCATTAGCATAACTCATTAGCATATGCCACACCCCCTGACATCACCGGAAGTGTGTCATAAGGCCACACCCCCTGACATCACCGGAAATGTGTCATAAGGCCACACACCCCACCCCCAACGGTCCCGGCCGCCACCACCGGCCTTGCAGCTCCACTGCCGAGCCCCATGAGGGGCCCGGCGGTGGACCTGCAAGGCTGGTGGGAGTGCAAGGAAGCCCCGCGAAAGCCCTCCCTGGCCCCAGGCAGGCAGGGGTGGGGAGAGGCAGGGAGGAAGCAACTTACCCTCCCTCTTCTCCTGCCTCCTCCTGGCAGAATGAGGGCCGGAAGCGGGGTGGCCGGAAGCAGGGAGCGGGGCTTCGTCATGTGCCCCGCCCCCACGTACCTCACCCGGGGGAACTGCGTTCCCCCGCATTCCCCCCCGGAATGACCTCTGGTTGGAACCATTCAATTCCCTTTCTTACTGCAGCCCATGTTTCATATGGCTTTTGGCCAGGAAATACCTTCCCATGACAATCAGAATAGCCTTTTTGGAGGTCAAAGGGGACCCCTTCTCCCCTTTTCACTAGTGGTAAACCTGGTTGGGTCCAACCCATATTTCTTTTTACTGTCAACATTTTATTCATATATTGTTTTCTAAAAATTTAAAGCTTATACTTTATAGTTACTAACATTTCTAAAGAATTTGGGATGAATATAGATTATAATTTACACAAGCCAATTTTGAAATATTTCCTGGAGAACAGTCCAGTCAAGACAAGCTTTACAAGCCAAAATAAGACACAATGAGATATAATAAATGAAAAATGTAATTAGGGGAAAGTTTTGAAAGAATGGATGGTCTTGAGTACAAAACTCTCAGGAAACTAATAGGGGGCATTATTTACAGCTGAAATTAAACATCAATAGAATGAAGGGTTAATAAGAAGACTATGATAAAATACAACTCGTAAGGAAATAGATATTAAGTGGAAAGGGAATCATGCATGTATACAGATGCTGCATGCACAGTTTCCCAGCCAGATCCCACATCTGGAACTATATGGAGGTAGACTTTTTTGACTCTGTTGATCAGTTGTTCAGGAAGTATACCAGATGGTTAGATTGAGTCCCCCTCTTCTGTGCCAAACAGCTGATTGTTGGGATTTCAGCTTTTTTTAAAAAACCTACATTGTAAATATGCAGCCACCATTACTTCCCATATACTGTGTTTGATCAGAGCCAAACAGATACATGAAAGCTGAGAATCTGCATAAGTGCCCTACACGTTTTTGTAGCTCTCTGAAAGTCTTTTCCTAAATGGCAACACACGACATCAAAAACTGCTCATATGCCCCAACATTTTACAAAGATCTTACAGAGGGACTTCCATTTTATAAAGTGTTGGTTTTTTAAAAAGAAAATACAATATATACAGCCATGGAAGGGAGGTTAGTTAATATGCACACCCCTCCACGTCATTAAGCACCTTTGGGATATTGTCATGGAGCTCAAATTGTTATGCTCAAAATAGATTTTTCCCTCTTTTATGGCTTACCGTTTTCTATAATTATCAACATTCTTAACACCGCCAAATGTGTGAATCATGTTACCATCCAGCCTAAAGAAAACTTGATCTAGCTTGGGAAATCACTTGGCTGTATTTATCAGGCTTCAGTTAGTTCTCTTTTAAAACAGCCATGTGGGAGGAAAGCACAAACTGATTACTTAATTTTAGTAATATTTTATACTATTAAATCTCAATTATGATTGAAGGGACTCTTAACATTGATTCTTATGCTTCCCAGTTATAGGGCCCATGTGTGCTTAACATTTCCACAGTTTTTCTTTTGTATCACCCAAGAGTTTTACTTCATTAGAAAGGTCAGACAGCAGTAGGGAATGGAGCCCACAGAGACAAATAAAAGCACACTGTTGGACATATGTTTCCAACCTCTTTCTTTTCAGTGACAACAAAATGAGTTAACAACTACATTCAAACAATGAGAAACAGAGATACTGCCTGAGTCTAGAAAGAAGCAAAAGGCGTTCCTTTCCAAATGTGAGCAAAGAAGAGGAGAATTGGAGGGGGGGGCATTGCTGTGATAGGAGGAGGAGGAGGAGGAGGAGGAGGAGGAGGAGGAGGAGATTGGATTTATACCTCACCCTTCACTTGGAGTCTCAAAGCGGCTTACAAACTCCTTTCCCTTCCCCTCCCCACAACAGACACCCTGTGAGGTGGTGGGGCTGAGAGAGCTCTGGCACAAACTGCTCTTTTTCAAGGACAGCTGTGCCAGAGCCTGTGACTGACCCAAGGTCACATCAGCAGGTGCAAGTGGAGGAGTGGGGAATCAAACCCGGTTCTCCCAGATTAGAGTCCGCGCACTTAACCACTATACCAGACTCCAGGTGAGGATGTGGAGTACCTTGGCTGAAAGTTTTAAGGGCGATTTTTGGATCCCTTTTGGGTAGCCCTGCAGGCATTGTACCATTAATAATTTTAAGTCTGTGAAGTGGTTCAAAACAACAGAGTTAGACTTGCTAAAAGAATTGAGGGACACTCCTAAAGCAGAATTCCATCAATGGTCATAGAATGGTGTAACTCTGCTTAGGGTTTGCCCTGTGTTTCTCTTTCCCCAGAGATGGGTCAATTAATTATGGTATCCCAGCAAAGCTTTGCAAGCCGTGTACATCTTATGACAGTATGCAGATGATGGTTAGTTAGTGATGGTGGGGAGTGAGTGCTCTTAAGTAAATAAACTGGCTTTTCTACAGGCACAAGGATTTCCACCTGCAGAGCATGACTTTGTGATTTGCCCCCTCCTGTGGCAGTCTGAAATCCTGTTCTTATGGGTCTTCAGTCCCCTGGCAACAGCATTTCAAACTGCCACAAGAGACAGGAGGCAACAGAGTTGTACTTCATACATGGAAGTCCTTGTGCATGTGGAAAAATTCAAGTGGATTAAAACTAACCAAAAAAACAGTCCTTTAGTCTGCTTCTTATTCAACTGGCAGATTCTAATCTGTTAGGATACATGGCTGAAGGAAAGTGTTATATAGACAAGGCCAACAAAGCATACTATATGGATGGTTTCATGTTGCCAGGATAGTGGGAACTAATGATTGGTGGGAAGTGATGAGTGAGTTTCAGGGGCTTGCAGCTGGCTTGAGGGTTCCACTAGTTAATGAAAAAACTGAAGATCAGTATCTTCAGTGTTCTTTTTAGGTATTAGGACTGATACCATAGAGGAGCTTTGCAGATTGCCAGCTGACAAGTTACAGAAGGAACTAGCTAGCAGATAGTGCAAAGTAACTTAACTGAAAATGACTTCTTGCATAAGCTTTGTCATGCTATGAGGGGTGTACATGCTATTAAGGATAGGCACAAACTGCATTTTTGAGGTTCGGCTTGTGGTTCAACCATGAACTGAACGGATATGCTGGTTTGTTAACTGAACCATTCGTACAAGTTCATGAGCCATTAATGTTTAAACCCCTGCTTTCTGCTCCTCATAAACCATCATGAGACACCGTGAATTGTGTCAAAATTTGTGGTAGTTCATCACAGTTCTTCACCTCACAAACTTTGATTTGCGAACCTTGAACAGGCCAAAATTCATGACAAACCTTAGTTCATCAGTCGGTTCATGCCCATCCCTAGCTCCCATCACCATTGTGTTTTCTGGATCTGTGAAAGCAGACTTGCACACCTGGCTGGACTTCATCGCTCAAGACAACACATCCTTTTTATGCAGTCAGGAGCAATTGATGGGAGCAGAATTCCAAGTGCAATCAGATGCTGCAAGTAGTTCTGGTCTTTCCACAAGGCAGATGGTATGGTGAGGATCTCAGATACTGATACCTGTCTGAGAAAGCCTCGCTCCAAGATCAGTCAGGGTGGATTTCCTTAGCTTTCATCATAGTATAACTAACAAGAATTGAAAGGGAAGGGGTCTTTTAGGGTGGCCTGCATTTACCATGTCTCAGTACCAGCGAGGATATATATCATACTTCACAAAGAGAGCGGTCCATACATTTAGCCAAACCATACCCTTCTGATACTGCTACTGCTTGGTTATTGGCTCTCCCTGCAATAGTGATCCCTGGAGGCTGTTCCACTGCTTGCAGGTAGACCTGGTAACTGTAGACCTCTACTCCATGGGGGTCCAGAACAATAATTTACAAGGCTACTACTTCTTGTTATTATATTAGCATTTAAAGTATAGTGTATTTTTTGTGCGTGAGAAGTGATTTCATTACTTACCTGCATTCTTCTGGACCTTTTTTGTCTAACACAAATTGATCTACTTTCTGCAGCTCATTAATAAAGCATAGACGATTCTATTTATAACTTCACAACAAGCCATTTTGGGTTCCATCTTTCTCAGCACATACCGTGTCACTGTCATCGTTGGATGTGAAAACAAAATTGCTTTCATGCAATCTGTCTTGGAATGCATTGAGATTTTTCTAATTCCATAATGCATCTTCAGTTTATTTTAGTTATACTATATGCATTATTCTACTGTTTAAAGACCACTGGTCCCTTATAGGGTGCCTAATGCATCCTTGTAATCAAAGTATGACATATTTAAGTCTACAAACAAAAACAATATGGATTTATGCACAAAATGTATAATAATCTGAAATATTCTGGTGATACTTTGGCTAAAGCAAGTTAACACAGTGAAAATAAAGATCTGAACATACGTGCAGTCTGGGAGGAAGAAATTCTATCATTGCTATGAAGCTACGAACCAAACGCTACTTATCTTCTCAGGAGACATGTAGTCTATATTAGAATGATTGACAGTGTTTGTTTTCTCTTGCATTATGGTCTCCTAATGACCAGTGTGTCTTCTTACACGAACATGGGGAGAAAGTATGCATTCAAAGTTGCCTTTGTTTTTATATAGAATGATCTAATTTTGAACCTACATGCATACTTTCCTTTGTACTTGAGGTATTTCCACCCTAGAGTCCCTCAGAATGCGAAACTTTTTGGATTTCACTGATTTTTCCTCAATCTATCCTGTGCAGTGAGAAGGTCTACAATGACCTATTAGACGAGCAAAGGAATGCAGAAAAATAATTTTGGATACTTTCAGCATTCAGTTAGAAAGGGGCATATGTGAACTATCTTGGACTACAGCTTCCAGTATTAAAAAACTGATAAACAGAAGTGCATTGCAAACTACCAGAGTATAAAAACATTTGCATTCCACCTTAAACAGTCCAATCTATGTTGCAAGTCGAATGATAAACATACATAAGCCTGTTGTGAGTTTTCCAGTCCTTTTATATGAAGTCCTCGATATAAGTCCTTATATTCCAGTCCTTTTATATCAAGGCCTGTGAAGCTCAATCCAGAAACCATTCAAGCCTAAATTTAATTTATTAACAGAACAACTGGGTTGGTGCTACAGTCTTTAAGCCTGACAGCATGTGAAAGACTGAAACATAAGAAAGAACAGAAAATAAGAAGGGACCATGCTCACGGAATATGAAATGAAGAACTGGCATGGAATCTCACCAGAAATGGCTGGCCTTGCAGCTGTGGCATGGAATAGTTACGCTCTTATACTGAATCAGTTTTTCTGTTAAGTATGAACTAAGGTATCACTTATACAAGCAGCTGCCCATGGATACCATCAAGAAAAACAGTTACATTTGAGGCAATTAAAGAAACCACTTAAAAATTGACACAAAGAAAGAAAAATGCATACCTCAGAAAAGAAATACCCTTCTGAATACAGAGTGAAAGAGAAGGCTGCTGGCACTCACCGTTGTGGTGGTAATGACTTCCTCAGTTACAACCTTCAGCGTATCGACCACTGAGATGTATCCCAGACGCCTAGCAATTGCTAAGGCAGTGTTGCCATTCTGAAAAGAGAAAAGACGGAGAGAGAAGAGAATGAGAGGGAGGATTGTGATATGAACCAATGAGATCACACCCGGCAGTGAATGAGCCAGCATTTCCATCCAAAACAAGGCATTCGCTTAGGAAAAAAATCAGTCTTTTTTTTTACCATTAAAATCTGACTCTCTCTTTACAACTTTGCTCAGATTATAGCCCCAATTGCCATAGTAACAGTACACACACAACATCTGCCTGCTACACTTAATAAAAATCCATGACATGGTTTAATCCTCAAGTTTTTTTAAAAATGTGGCTTCAGGCGTTCCTGTCTAATTTGGTACACGAGCTTTTAATTGGGAGTAACTTCAGTAATTATTAGTTTAAGAGATGTTGTTTACACCTGATATAGAGCCCATTTTGAAAAGAAAGATTACTTATAGATGATTTGTGCACATGAGCCAACAGCCATAAAACTCCGCCAAAATGAAACAACTAAAAGGTGTGACAAAGCTGGATCTTTATAGCGGCTTAACCTCATTGGCTTGAATCCTAGGAAACTGTAAACAGAAGGGAATTCATGGAAGAGATCTTTGCCACCACCTAATTTTGCAATGACTGACACCTCCTACATCCCACAGAAAGCCACTCCTGTGAGTCGGGGGTGGGGGGAACCATCAGGAACAGCTTGGGATGCAGCGTGGGAAAAGTAGAGCTGGAAGAAGAAATTAGCAGAAATCCCTTCTAATTTTGCAAAACCCAGAACTCATAGCTTCTTGGGATCCAAAACACAGACTGTGAGCCCTAAGTAGGACTATTAAATGCTGCTTCTTACAGTTGGCAAAAATGTTAAAAGCACTAACTTCCATTTTCTTTTCTACACATAATAAGTCAGTTTAGGTAGAAGCAGACTTATTGATATTACCCAGGTTTAGGAATGTGCAGATTTGGGGGGGAGGGGGTTCTCAGTTTTTGGTAGCTATGTGAAGACCTAATTTGGGAGGTTATCTGCTGTTATTTACCCTCTTTTTGCTTGGGCACTTTTTTTTTGTCCCATCATCACATTTCCGTCTTGCTCGATTAACCAATTCAAGCCTACCAAAGGTAACATGCAAAAGGGGATGATGTCACGGTGGCACATAGCCAGTCTGAGTTGCCTCTTACAACTGAGAATGAGAGAAAGAATGGCTCAGCCACATGGCTGATCCCAGCCTATCATGCAGCGAATGGGATGATGTCATGATGCTAATTAGCTAATCGGATCTGGATACACACTGATGTCACTCAGAGTAAACAAAACCAGTTCAGGAAGCACAGTCCTCACTCTGAATAAGCGAATATTTTCATACACACTTGTACACAGACACACTTTTGATTCAATCACCAAAACGATCACTGCATGAGAAGTACTCTTTCAATGCTGTAGAAGTGAATATTTTCATACACACTTGTACACAGGCACACTTTTGATTCAATCACCAAAACGATGAATGAGAAGTACTCTTTCAATGCTGTAGAAAATGCCTGCAAAAAGCAAACACCACCCTAGCTGAACTACATAGTATAGTGGCACATTGTGGAAGACAATTGTAATATGAGGAGATAGTGGTGAGCCACAAGTTTCTCCCTCTGTGCCTAGATTGCTCTGTGACAGCAACAAACTGGAAGGGGTTAATGGTTGTGAGGTTTCTCTCTAAAGAGATATTCTTTGGGGAGTGAGGGGAATATGCACCTGTTGTTGGAATGCGGGGGATGCCTTATTCTCTCAGCCTTAGAACAGACTCCAGCTGAAGGCCAGCCACTATACTGCTTTTACACACACACACACACACACACACACACACACACTGTGCGATTTATAAGTTATGGGGGGCTACTTTTTTCCTTTGGAACTTCAGCTCAGACCAGGCTGCAGAACGATGCTGAGCACTTTGGCTGACACCCAGGAGTTCACACACTGCTATTGTCGGGGTTCCCACAGCTGAAAGGGATGTGGGTATAACTCTTTATTATTATCTGTTCATGCTAGTAATTTATGAAGAATAAAGCTGTTTTCCTTCCACCACTGGCATGTTCATTGCTTTTGAAATTCTTGGAGGAAAAAGAACCATTTGCCTCTTGGCAACACACATATATAGAAATTAGAGTCATTCAAGACAAATAATAAGGTGTATAAAGTAATTTATCTTCTTCACTTTTGACTGGGAATATTTCAGCAACATTTGCCAGAGACAGCTAGGCATCCTAAAAGAACTTGTAGCATGTTTGCAATGGTCTGTCATGCAGAGAGGTTCTGTGACAACAATTCAAAACCATTAGCTGAGGCCTCGTTCATACATGCAGGCAAATAAGGTGGAATGAGGTAATAGAATGTGCAGCTTTGGTTCAGATATTACATAGCAGACTCCAATTCTGTTAGTTATTAGCAAATAGAAAACTAGCACAGCTGGGAAAAATGGTCTACCCTGTTCCTTAGTTGTGCTGGTTTTCTAACATAATTCTGGCAATCCCAAAATGCAATCCTCCATTGGTTATTGGAAATGGTTCAGTCCATTTCACCACTATAAGTCTCTGCCAGCTCATTACTACCTGATTGTCCTACAAGTGTGGACCAGGCATCAGTGGAGGCTAATTATCTTCAAGGACTGCCAGCAAGTTACTCTAGTTGATGTAAGGATGTAGACTGACTTACACAATAGACAAGATCGCATCCCTGAGTTACCCCAAGGATGTGCCACCATGGGGGCCAAATTCTGGTCAGGGCCCCCATGGAATGGAGGGAGGCAGGGCTACTGCCTTCCTCCCATGCAGTTTTTCAAACTGGAAGCCATGCCAGGGAGATATGTTGGTAAATTATTCCTCCCTACACAGTTCCAGGTTAGAAAAATGGTGCTGGGAGAAAGCAGTAGCCCCTCTTCCTCCTGTGCTGCAGTGGTCCCAACCACTGGGACTTTTTAAAAGGAGTTCCCTGGGAGAACTTGCTCCACAAAATGGAAACACCATCTCATTTAGTTTGGTTCTGAGATACAATTACCAAGACCACTTCATTAGTTAACTAGAGCAGAGAAAGAAATAAAACAAGTGACTTGCCGTCTTATTCCCATTTTGATGGGCTGTACCGTTAGAGACTATACAAAAAATTAATGAAGTGCCATTAAGTATTCATAGCATGTTATCTATGTTACAATGCTCCAAAGAACTGAGAAATTAGTTTCATGGGCCAAAATGGACTTCACAGTGGATTTTCCTGAAACATCAATACTCCATGCTTCATGGCAATCAGACTTTAAAACTTCATGGAGTGCCCTTCATAAAACTATGTTGCTAGCTCTTTGGAGCTTGGCTATATGTATTAATAGGAAATTCTAGTGCTAACAGACATGATGCCAAGGTTTAAAAATCTGCAATACAATCTGAAGCCTAGGGTGGGAGGAATCACAAAGTTTAAGGGAGGACGTTCCTCCAGCATGAGGCACTTCTGCTCACCCTAGTGAAATGTCTTTCAATAAGTTAAAAAGTACATTGTGCGAGAGAACATGGTCCACAGTGGAGGACCACCTCTGCAACAGGTGAGGAGGGGTTCAAATGGAAAGAAGTCTTAGAAAGCAAGACATTATGCTAGGCTGCTACTTTGATTCCAAAAGGCATCTCTATCCATGTTCCTCTGAAGAGCTCTGAGGGGACAGGCAAGTTTCACAGTAAATTCCACAGTCAAGTAACTTTAAGATCATCTACTTTTCAAGTCTCTATACTCTTCAGCCCTATTGGGCCAGAATTATCTGCTGCCATGTCCTACCTACTGTTTACCACCTCATAATGAATCCATCTGCCTCTCCTATTACATCTCCTTCCATTCACTTATACTGTGGATCTGTGAGCTTAGCAATGGACAATGTAAATTGGTCGTCCCCCCAAGGAGTCCTCACAGATTTTTCTTCTTACCAGATCTTGGTTGGAATTCTGATTCCATCTTCTTAGTTTTCTCTCTCCCAGATATCTCTCATTCAGTCCCTCTCTCACCTTGAAATTGCTTCAAGCTAATTATAGAATGCTCCAAGAATGACAGAAATAAGCATGTGGCCATGATATAATTTCTCTTCCATTATTTTAGTCACATATTGTGAAAAGACATGTTTTCATCTAAATTCTTGAGGGCAGGAGCAAGCACTAGAAGAACACTAACATCAATGCAACTATTCATATCCTACACTTTAAGAAACTTCTGGGCACAGAAAAAACATTACTGTGATGGAGCCAATCACTTCTGTGCACAGAAAAACATTACTGTGATGGAGCCAATCACCCAGTATCAAAAATTAGGTTCTTTCCCTCTGTCTGGATGTTAAAATAAGATAAAATAAAATAAAATAAGGGGGGGAAGTGCCCAATTTTTTATTGTTTTCAGTGGAGGGGGGAAAGGCATTTAAAGGGATTGTGGGCCCTTTAAAAGCCTTCTCCAAGCGACAACACAGCAAGTGAACTCCAAAGGTGGGTTTAAAGGGTTCACAGTCCATTTAAACATCTTCTCCAAGTGACGAGTTCACTCAAAAGATGTTTAAAGAGAGTATGATCCCTTTAAACACCCTTTAACTTTGACTACCCAGTGGTCCCAAAAAAACCCCAAATATTTTTTGGGACCAGCCATTTTGGATAGCTGAAAAACAGCCAAATCTGTATTTGGATGAAAGAAGGTATTTTCCGGATATTTTTCAGCTCTAATTTAGCTAAATGCACACCCCTAACCTGAACCCTTCCACGAGCAGAAGGATTTTGATGCTTCATGCTGGAGTGGGAAGGGAGAGGCAAGAAATGTTCAGCTGGATACAAGCCACCAGTTACCTAATAAGATTCATTTTCCAATAATACTATTGTTGTGGGTCAGCCTGAGCTCAGCATGAAGTCCTCAGGGGAGGAGGACTCTTCAGGGGAAGAGGACTCCTCTGGAGAAGGGGAGCCATGTATGGCTGACTCTGAGACAGAAGAAGCTAGTAAACAGGCTGATGAGCTGCAGGCTGACCAGGTCTTACCACCAACAGCTGATCCAGACCCACTGCCCAACTCTGATGCAGCAGGTGAGACTCAAGTGATTAAGCCCAGTCCACCAGGCTCACCTCCACCCTTCAAGTGCTGGAGACAGAAGCTTAGAAGGGAGCTGCAAGCAAAGAGGCAGGGTGAAAGTCTCCTGGCCCATCATCAATTGCTTGCTGACGACAGCCTGGAGTAGTTGCAGCAGTACTCTCATGCAGGTGGCTACTAACAAGGGCTTGTTAGGAAGTGCCTATAAAAACCAGGGTTGGGAGCCTGCAAGTTGTGGAAGTAAGAAGTTATTCTGCTGGATTCTGTGACTACTCCTGACTCTGCTTTCTTTATGTGACCTTGAACTGGTTTGACTTTAGCTCTGTGACTCTCTGGCTTGTAGATGACCCTTGGACCTCTTGACTATGCTCTCTGTTTCACCTCTGCTGGTAATGACCCTTTGGTTTGTGGAGTTTTGGGACTGAACTCTGGACTTTGTGCGAGCACCTGAATGTGTCTGGCTTGTCTGCCTGTAACAACTATCTTAAAATTATTGGAATAAAAAAGGAAGAAGTAGAAGGGGAAGACTGCAGCAATGCCACAGGAGAGGCAGCATATATCCTCTAAACAAGCAAGCAAATAAACAATAACACAACATTATTTCCGGACTTACAGCGGTGATGGCATTTGGTTTGGCCCCGTGTTGGAGAAGAACATTGATGATGTGAGTATGACCTTGTTGAGCAGCTTGGTGCAGAGGAGTGTACCCATTCTGTAATAAGAGGAAATTGCCACATTTAGGAAAGGGAAAAAAGGAAGACTAGAACATAACTTTCTAATACAACATGGTATAGATATTATATGTTTGCCAAGCAGCAAAAAAGAAAATGAACAAATATTTACCTTTGTCTTAGCATTGACATTAGCTCCCTGCTTTAGGAGAAAGTTCACCATCTTGATGTTCCCATAATGACAAGCTACTATCAGTGGACTGTAACCTAGCTACAAAAAATAAAAGGGAACAAAATATAAGTAGTGAATGTGATACTGGTTTGGAAATTTCTTTCATCTGCTTGGGCACATGGTCTACCTTAGTCTGAGCATCTTTGTTTGCTCCATTCTTGATCAGCAAATCTGCTACATTCACTTTATCTTCTTGAGCTGCTAAGTGTAAAGATGTAAGTCCGCTCTGCAAATGAAACACAAATGGCCTTTTAGTTTATTATGTATGATTCTGCAGTGTTTGCATGAGTTGAAGCTCTCACTAAAAGGAGTCCAGCATAAGCTACAAATAATAATATTCAGGATGTACATAATGCTCAGAGCATTCAAAGTGCTTCACTACAGGCCTATAAAATAGGTCAGCATTATTATCTCTATATTGTGATGTGACAAGAGTAAAGAATGGCTTGCCTAAGTCCACAAAGTGAATCTGAACTACAGATTTCTTTGATTACATTCTCTTAGCTACTACACTATACCATCATCTAATAGGCTGTTGCTCATTATAGTAGTCCAGTCTCATAAGTACGGTCAATGGGCCTGTATTGGACAGAAGAGGCTATAGTCTTCTCAACTAAGTGGTGCTGGTTGAAAGGCCTTCTGATCAATGTCACTATTTGGGCCTCTCAGGTTGTGGTCACACGTGCCAGAAAAAAAGGGGGGAAGTGAGGCGATTTCCTCTGCAGTTGCACAATCACATATCCCTTTGAAGCTGTGGGCGCAGTCCGTTAGTGTGTGATCAGATGCAACTGCGGGTGAGTCAGGGGTTTTTGTGCCTTTTCCCCCATGTGCTTAAACGAGGGATCAATTAATCGCACCTCTGCACCGAGGGCTCCCTATGGAGTTTGCGATGATGCGCATACTAGGAAGAGGGGGGAAAACAATGGCATGGAGTTGGGATGTCCAAATCAGACCATCCCAATGCCATAAGAGCACGCTGGAGCGATGAGACACAGGAAAGTCTGTCCGTGGCCTGTCGCAATCCGTTTACTACCAGATTTTCCCTGGTGTCTTTTAACTCCGCTTCTGCGACAGAGCAGAATGGGTTGCCGATGGCTGCAAGGCTCTTTCCAGATGTTGTTGTCTGATTGCGCCCTTTAAATCTGCCCAGCGTTCGCACCTATGTCGGGTCTAATTGTGCGTATGATCGCAGCCTCAGTTCAGTGATGTACCATGGCTATGAACAGAGTCACTAAACTATCTAAAGATGTGGCTCCTAATCCAAATTCCCTCCAAATTAGCATTACTGCTCTCTATTCTGGATTTAATTTTAGTAATTTCACCAGTACCCAAACATGGCCACATACGGAAATAGAATGCCAAAACCACAAGAATTCTACAAGATGTAAAGGAGTAATATGGGTATCATTAGAATATCTGTAGAATTGGGCCCTATTTCCAATGGCTTCATACACTGATTGAATTGTGGGGGAATACCCTAAAGAACAATGAGAACTATTTGTCACCTATTCTTGAATCTCAATGGCAAGAATGGGTGGATCTGCTCAATTCCTGATAATCTGCTGAGTCCCAGATCTGTCTTGCCCATTAACAGCTTCAGTCAATGGATTTAAGTATCCAAAGATTCGGCTGACTTGGCTATTAGTATATAGAATCAATTCACAATATTATGAGATTACCTTTGTGGCCACATGAATGTTGGCTCCTTTTTCCAGAAGCAAGTTCACCATGTCTGCATGACCTTCCTGAGAGGCCAGATGAAGTGGAGTCACTCCTTGTTTGGTCAAAATATTGGTCTCCGCTCTGTAATCTAGCAGGGTTGTGGCTATCTGCATCTGATTCTTCTTAGCAGCAATGTGGAGAGGAGTATATCCATTCTAAAAAGCAGGTGCCTTATATTAATACCCATATGTAATATCTATTTTCTTTTATAACATAGATTAGACTTTATTCTTAACAAATGTTATATCTTAATCTAGGGGGAAATATTTGGCAAAGAAGAAATTGACTAATGATTCCTGTGTTGGACCACAGCAGGA